CTCTAGATCTTGAAAAATGAAAACTAATCCTCTAAATTTTCAGTTAATCTCTGAGATTCTATACTCTGAGTCTGATGTTATGTATATTCTTTTTCTGGAAAATATAGGCATCAAGAAGCAGCTGGTTATCATTGCTCAGCTTGGTGAGAATACTTTACTCAACTTAATCATATATGTTTGATTCCATGTGAAAAATGAAAAGTCATCCTCTAAATTTACAAATGTTATGTATTGTTGGAGGTAGCATGAATTGTCCATGAAACAGTTCGAATTCCGAAGCAGTAATAAAAGCTTAGAAGGATATGCAGATTCAAATCACGGGAGGAGTTCTCACTAAACTTGCATCCTCAACCTCTTGCTCCAGTGGTTTTGAGTGCACTTAGTTTAGTGAGCACCCTCAATACATTTGACACAATATTTTTTCAATTTATGATCATAGCTTCTATGTGTTTTTTTTTTTTTAAACTTTTGTCATTGTTTCTTGCAGGGTTTCTCCTGTTGGCGGCACTTTTGATTGGTAAGTATCTGTGTCTTTCAACGCTTGATCATGAAACATATTTAACTGCGGATAAAATGAAATGATGTCCCAAATGGCCATAAAAAATTAATGCATTTGATATAAGACTATTTTTCCAATAAGCAAAATGAGATACTACTTCAGTTAATTATCATACTTATTCATAATTTTCCTACACAGGATTAAACATTGCAATGAGAATTGTATGTGGAATACCATTCGCATTGACAGCCTTAATTTATAAACTGAGAACCTCATGCCTATTAGGTACTCTTACACCCAAATTAAGAAGATGACCAAAGGCTTCAAGGACAAATTGGGTGAAGGAGGTTACGGTTCTGTATACAAAGGAAAGCTTAGAAGTGGCCGTCTTGTAGCTGTCAAGATATTGGGGAAGCCTAAAGCTAATGGGCAGGAATTCATCAATGAAGTGGCTACCATTGGAAGGATTCACCATGTCAATGTGGTGCAACTAATTGGGTATTGTGCCGAGAGATCTAAGCGTGCTCTTGTGTATGATTTTATGCCTAATGGCTCACTTGAGAAGTACATTTTTCATAGAGAAGAAGGAACAGTGTCGTTGAGTTGTGAGAAAATGTATGATATTTCTCTTGGAGTGGCACACGGGATTGAATATCTACATCGGGGTTGTGACATGCAAATCCTACATTTTGATATCAAGCCTCACAACATTCTTCTTGATGAAAAATTCTCTCCAAAAGTTTCCGACTTTGGACTCGCCAAATTGTATCCTACAGACGATAGCATTGTGTCTCTCACTGCAGCAAGGGGAACAATAGGTTACATGGCTCCAGAATTATTCTATAAAAACATTGGAGGTGTTTCATACAAAGCTGATGTTTATAGTTTCGGAATGTTGTTGCTGGAAATGGCCGGAAGAAGGAAGAATTTGAATGCATTAGCTGATCATTCAAGCCAAGTTTTCTTCCCTTCATGGGTTTATAACCATATCAATGAAGGAAAAGACATAGAAATGGAAGACGCCAACGAGGAGGAAAGGACGGTGGTAAAAAAGATGATAATAGTTGCATTATGGTGCATACAAATGAAGCCTGGTGATCGTCCTTCGATGGGCAAAGTTGTAGAGATGCTCGAGGGAAATGTTGAACTCCTGCAAATGCCGCCTAAGCCTTTTCTCCGTTCAGAGAAAATTCTTGCTGAGGATCATACAGAGCCATCATTTCAATGGGATGATTCTATAGATTTAATCACTTTGGATGAAAGTGCTTAAGTTTCTTGCATTTCATCAAGATGTAAGTGCAACTTAAGCAATCTATTATACAACCGTGATTTTTTATAAATGATGATGAATCTGATAGAAGACTAATCAAGGGAGTTACTCACTTCATATGATGCAAAATGGAGATTAGTTTCTATGATATTGTGGTTTTTCATCACTAGATTCCATTTCTCCTTGAAACCAATCATTCCAGACTGATTTTCATTTCTTCAATCATCCATGTTTTATGTTTACAACTTCTTCTAATTCAATGGACAAAAGTATTAGTTTATTCTTTATACACTCTACATTCCATAAAAGAAATTATATATCAATATATTCTAATTCAATTGATGAAACTATTAAGTTTATATCCATCTTTCATAGAAGAAAAAAAGGGACATTATCACAGCTTAGAAATTGCAACCTCACCTTCTTTATTTTCCTTTAATATCAATCTTTGACTAGTTATTTTACATAGCCGCCTGATGGATTTGTCCTTAATTTCGACTTAGACTTTTACCAAATACAGAATAAAAAAATTAAACAAAATATTTTACCTAAAAAAAAAAATTCGTCCATACAAACGGAACTTTTGTGTTCCCTTTTTTTTTTTTTTAATTTTAAATTTTTAATTGAAGTAAACGAGAAGATTGGCTGCTAATGGTTTAGGTTTTGTGTGTAGATTAAAAAATAACATAACAAATCATCTTGATATTCTGTGATCTCTAGATTCGATATTCCCCTTTTTTAAAAAACTGGTAAAAGAGTTCCAATTCCTTTTGAGAATAATTAATATAAATAAATTATAGTTTACATCTTTCGCCACGCCAGGCATGCACATTGTGAAATCAAGGCAAATCTTAAGATTTGGAAAATTTTATATATTCTAGTGTTCTGTGTTGGTTTATTTTCAAATCATAGACTATTAACTGAAGAGATGACGTTTTTGATTTGAACTTGTTGGCCCCTTCTATTAAAATATGTCTTTTAGATTTTTTATACTGTTTGTGACCTTGTGAACATGTCCACTCATGTAAGTTCGATTATTTTTTTTTGAGCTTCCTCGTCACATACTTTCAGAAATTCGGTTAGTTAAGTAGAGTGCTCGTTTTTTTATTCGATTTGTACTTTGCACATAAATGTACGGGACATTGTATTACAAATTCTCACAAATATATTATAATTTACAATAAAAATTTGGGTGTGCAAGTTTTATCTTTAATTTCTGCACATGTATATAAATATATATAGGGATTATAACAAATAAATGGTGCTAATGGTTTATATTTACCTTTTAATGGAGTTAAAGTTTTATAGTTTTCAAAAAATAATGTTTACCAAAATACTAACGTGGACATGAAAAAATACTATTTATCCTCACTACGGTACCATTTTTAGGCATATATATATCACTTTTTATGCATGAAGATACCACTTTTAATATATGAGGTGTCGCTCTGATTTTAGATATAGAGGTACCACTTTTATTCACATAGTTACCACTTTTTGTGCACATAGGTACCACATTTTTGTGTACAAAAAGTGGTACCTAATGATAAAAAGTGGTACCAGCATGCACAAAAAATGATACCTATATGCCTAAAAGTGGTAACTCAGTGACGGTAAACACTATTTTTTCATATTATCATGTTTTCGAAACTATGAGACTTTGACTCTATCAAATAATAAATATAGGTTATTAACACTATTTATATGTAATAAATTGAAAAAAAAAAAAAAAAAAAAAAAAAAAAAACCCTAGAAAATCTCATAAAGAGATTGAACTTTAAAAAGGAGTGCGAAAGCAAGTACCATTGAATTTAAAAAAATATGGCAGGATCGAAATCACTGGAACGAACAAACAAATATATTTTGGAATAACATGGGGATGTCAATTTCGTGCAGCTTTTGTTCACCACCAACTTGGGACCACGGCATTGACAAGAAACCATATTTCAATGACCACAATGCCTACCTTTCTTTCTTTTCTTTTATATTTAGCCAAAAGCTTAAAGATCAATAGATCATGACACTAGAAATAGGAAACAATTTACATCAATTGATTATTAAATATAGTTGTTAGATCGAACAGTCCACAAATGGTATAATAATTTTGCTTTTTTTTTTTTTTTTTTGTTTGAAAGGTGTAATTTTTTTAGGAGAATTATGCCAAAATTTGCATGGCATCAAGGAAATATTGTAAATTTTGCGTCTGGTTTTGTAAAAGAGGATTCCATAGCATTTAATCATTACCACTTAGTAATATGTTTAGATTTATTTGTCTGTAGGAAATTTTAAACCCCACATTTGGATACATCCACTACATCAAGCTAAATTAAATAATCAGCTAAACACATCAATTTGAATAGATTATAATATAATTGTTTTTAAAAAAATTATCTCAATCAGGTGATTGAGCTCCGAAAACAAAAACTCCACCTTGGAGATGAGATTGAACTAATTTTAGGGAATTTTAATAAAGGGATAATTATATATACATGGACTTTTTGAGCACTGTTTATTATTTCAAAGGGTTGAAGTCATGATATTTAAAAAAATTTACGTGTAATGTGACTAAAAATATTGATGTGGAAATAGAAAATGCTATTCATTTTTATCTGAAACCCAGATTACCCTATTTATTATTTTAAAATATGACCTGACTGATGCATGTACCCACAAAAAATGATAGTTACCGGCGTAGAATTAATAGTGGTCAAAACTCGTTTTACAATGAGTAATGTTATTATTACGAAAGTCCTCTTATGACAAAAAGAATTAACTCTCCTTTTTTAACTGTTGGATTAAGATAATTTTTAAGATTTCAGAAAAGTAAAAATCATTTAATTAATTGTTTAATAAAGAAAGTTCATCCTAAAAGATTCTCGTGATAGTATTACCCTTTTACAATTATGTTCATTTTATACTTAATTGTACATGGGTACTATAGTACCTTTGTATCATTATTTGTGTATGCATAACTTAGTTTATTTTTCAAAAAAAAAAAAGAGAATGGGAAATCTTTAGATGAACAGAATTACATCGAACAGTTTAGTCAAATTCATTTTTCTCAAAACTATCACAATTTTAACATCATAGAATAATAAATAGTGCTCCAAACTTTCATGGATATGTAATTATCCATTAGTCAAATAAGAGAATAAATACTGATCTGGTATTGAGTTGTGTGACGTTTGTGCCCGCAAGGTAAAAGCATATATATATATATATATATATATATATAGAACACAGCTCTTAACCCATTTCCATCTAAACAGTTGCTCGCTAGCGGAGGAGAGGGAAGCCGAAGAGTAAAATCGATCTCTTCGATTCCTCTTTCCCGCCATTGATATACACTATATATATCATCAACAACGCAGCCATTAACACCAGGCATGTTCTCTCGCTTCTCCACTTTTTAAGCGGATTCTGATGTGGTATGTTCTTTCCCTAACTAGTCGAAACACTCGAAACAGAGGACTTTTTTCGGAGTTTCTTGGGTCGAGAAATTTTCCGCTCGTTGTTAAATTTCAATGCTCTGTTTGGTTTCCGAGAAAGTTCTTTTCGTGTGTGTGTGTGTATGTTTAGTTTCTAAGGAAATGACAACAAATTGTTCAAAGACCCAATTCTTGATTGTTACAATTTCCCACAATTTTTCTTGAAACGAATAGATGAAATGTATTGTTCGTTTTTCCCTTCATTTTTCCCTTTTTATTACTTGGTCGCTGTTATGGAGTCCAAGAATGTTTTCATTTACAGTATGAAGAACCTGGGTTCTGACATTCTTTATTTCATTTTTTATTTAATATTTTTAATATTGAAATTTTAAGAGGCTGCGAAGCTGTAACTTTGACTACAATTCTTTGCTGCTTTTAGGAAAAAAACAATTTTTGGATCTCTTTAACACTCTAAGCTCTAATTTTTTGGATTATTAAGTGCTTGGATGATGATGCTTAAAATTTTGTTCTTATACAAAAACATTCACAACTGATGCTGGTTTTCTTCTCGAATAATCTCAGTCATGACTCAGAAAAAATATTTGGCATATTAGGAGCGTACTGTGATTTGATTTGGTTTTCTTTCTGAGAAAATAGTGTGTTAGTACTAGTTTTTGTATTATAATATTATTGTTATGACTGTTCTATTTTTTGTATAATATTATTGTTTTGACGGTTAATTCTTTGTTTTAGAAACTATATATAATTTTGTTAATTCTATGTTTTGGAAACTAAATATATAATTTTGTTAATTCTGTGCTTTCCAAAATTTCATTAGACACGTTTCTGAACCTATATATTTTATTTTACTTCCATAGATTTTTTTTATGACTGCCTGGTTATTAATTAAGAGCTCTTCTTTGGGATTTAACATTTGTAATTCTTCTCTTTTCTTCTCATTATTGCTCCACTCTTTTTTCCCCAATTGTTGTTAAGTTGAATTCTTAATGTTATATATTAAACTTATATTCTAATTGGTGATCTGTTTGAAGTGTGTTTATATTTAGTCATTGTATCTTGGTATCATATTTACAACTTAAAACGTAAAGAAACGTTTAGTGTTTATTTTTTATTGGAAATTTGTGTTGGCTTTCACAGTGTTAAGATAGCTGAATTCTTAATCATCTCTCTCTCTTTGCTTTCACTGTTTTTGTTTTTGTTCTTTGATGATTATGATAATGATGATTATGTTTGTTTTATAAATCTGGTAATCAGAAAATTGGAGCTGGAGAAGAAAAGTATACTATATGGAGGGCAAAGCAGGAAGAGGGTTGGGTTGCCAGAAGATTACGGATGGAAAAGACTCGGATAAGGCTATGATACCTTCTTGTTGCCTAAAGGCTAGGGCTTCAGACCCTGAACTTGAAGCTAAATGCCATTCAACAGTTGTCTCTGGATGGTTCTCAGAACCTCGATCGTGCTCTGGTCATTATTTTTTCTACTACTTTGATTCTTGTCCCATTGCGCATTTCGTAGAACTATATATATTTCTTTCAGTGCAGGTTTGTATATTTGGCATGATTATTGGTTGATTCAGGGTGGAGGTGGTTGACTCATTTTTTTTCCATGTGTCATTTATAGCAGATATAGCTGGCAAGGAAGTGTATTTCAACAACCCAATGTGGCCAGGTATGTGTTGTGTTTGTTGCATTGTCTGGCTAGCCTGATATGACTTCATATTAGAATAATATATTTCAATATTTCATACTTCAGTTTGTTCTGTATTCCATTACTTTATTACCTGAACTTGAAGGGATATTACACAAACTTTCTGCTTATACTAATTTGAGAACTTTCTCGAAATATATGTGTGTGTGTGTGTGTGTGTGTGTATATATATATATATATTAAATTTCTAATGCAAAATAATCAATTTCCAATCTTTTCTTATTGTCTAAATGAGGTCATCATCTCATATTTGAGTAAACCTAACGTTACTGCAATTTGTTTATAAAATTGATGTCCAAGATGTAAACAAGGGATTTTGAAAGTGATGGTGAGTAACTGCTTGGAGTGTTAAGAGCCCCCTTTCGGCCAAAACTTTGAAATGAAGAACTAAAATGGACTTATAATACATATAAAAAAAGAAGGGCTTATAACGAACACTGCCTTGATATCCCTACATGCTATATTACATGGATTTAGCTACTTTTGTTGTTTTTGTTTTGTCTCTAATAATTGGATTTATAGTCAAGGACACGAGGATGCAACTAAATATTTATATTATTTAATATTCTTTATTTCCTTGAGTAAAATAATGCTTTATCTAAGATAAAGTGTTCAATGTATATTCTTCACTCATTTTGAAGCCACAATGTAAAAAAATATATATTGGAACATAAAAAGATATTGATGTACAACTATATAATGAAATTGGATTGTTGGATATTGCTTGTTCATTTGGTTACTTCATGCATCTATCAGGTGTAAGTAATGTTTGAAGGCACTCAATGTTACAGTGCTTACTAATTACATTTTGTAGTGGAAATATAAATCATCTAAAACTGTCTGAACTTATACTTAATTGTCTTATATGTGATTAATTTGCTAATTACCTGTGATCTATCTTCTTTTTGTCTTGATTATAATAATCTTTGATTTCCCTCCAACTCACAATTTTTTTTTTTACCATGGTTACGGCTAATTCAGTTTGAGTGTTTATTTGTAGGAGAAGCACATTCATTGAAAGCGGAAAAGATTTTGTACAAGGAAAAGTCAGAGTACCAAGAGATCCTGGTTTTTGAGGTTGAGAATTTTCATCTGAGTATCTTTTTATGGCTACCTGCTCTGTTTGATGTCTAATCTTATCTCATTTAATGAGTTTGATGACACTGGTTCTTTTATCTGTAGTCTTCAACATATGGGAAAGTGCTTGTTCTTGATGGCATTGTACAGTTGACAGAGAAAGATGAATGTTCTTATCAAGAGATGATAACTCATCTTCCCCTTTGTTCAATTCAATCCCCCAAAAATGTAAAGTATAATAATCAGGGTTCTTGTTTTATTCTTTTCAATTTTCAAGTGAAATATAGTTTTGTTGCATTCCATTATGATGTTGTCTATTTTTTTTTTTTTTCCTTAGTTCCTTAGATTATTCAGGAGTGTTATTGATTGATATGTGGAAAACTTTGCCTGAAACTACCATGTTCTTCTAAATTTGAGCTTCCTATATGATATTCATTAAACAACTTCTCAAAGTTATCTTTCCACATTTTCTTCACTACATCATCATTTGTTAAAAACCTTAAAATCTCACTATTCATGCACTTAACATAATTAAAATCTCTAATTTTCGTCCCCCTTAACCTAGCAAGTTTGTATGTATTCCTCTCCCTATTCTTTGTACATACTTAAGAGGGGATAAACCTGTGTACCTGTGCTTGTCCAGAAAAACTCGTAAGCCTTTACCTACCTTTCATTGAATCCTGGTGTGGCATCCCTTGTCCATTTTCGGAAGCATCTAGATGTTGATGTAACACATTGCTTAAAAGTAAAAGCCCTAATAAATTTCAAAATTGAGTTGTCTTACAGTCATACTTAATTAGAAGACAAGTACAGACTGGCATCACTACAATTGAAATAAGCAGGAAGAAAAAGTCCCCGTTATATTGCTAATATGTGATGAATAAGTTTATGATAGATTTGGCTATCCTTTTTCTCTCTTCATAATTTTGCAATTTTTCTTTTTCTTTTTCTTAACTAAGTATGCAGAGCCTCTATGCTTAATATAATTGAATTACTCAATGCAGGTTCTGGTTGTAGGTGGCGGTGATGGTGGAGTTCTTAGGGAAATTTCTCGCCATTGCTCTGTGGAGCTCATTGATATCTGTGAGATAGATAAGATGGTTATAGATGTATGGTGAAATGACGCGACCTTTTTTGTCTGGTAGCTCTCACTATGTTTTTTGTTACTGAATTACTTTTTTGCTGTAATATCTCATGTTGTAGGTTAGTAAGAAGTTCTTTCCAGAATTAGCTGTTGGCTTTGAGGATCCTCGTGTCAGACTTCATATTGGTGATGGTATGTTAGAGAAGACTACATATTTTTTTTCCCTTGGCATGATATTGTTAGTTAAAAATCTTTGGCCTCAAGTCCTGGCTGACCAATTTTTTTGGATCAATAGATCTAGTTTATTAATAATGCGATGAGAAATGGAGACATTATTTTGAGAGCTATCTTTGAGTACATGGCTGTCCTTTCCCATTGATATTGTTTATGATTTTGACAGCCGCTGAATTTCTACGGCATGCACCAGAAGGGAAGTATGATGCGTTAATTGTAGATTCATCGGACCCTGTGGGTATGTATTTGACTCATGGTATTCGTTTCCTTCTTCTTGTTGTGCAGGCTTGTACATGCATTTTATGCTTGCACGGTGACAGGTAGTTAATGCATGTGATGTGGAAATCTTGGGCATATCATGACTTATCAATGTTTTCTAAGACCTTTATTGTCAGCATCAGCGATTTTTAACTTTTTGATTAAATGTTTTTAAAATGTATAAACTAATTGTTGAAATTTACTACATAAAACATATTGAGTCAATCCTATGCTGGTTTCTAGAAGAAAGAATTGAACTTGTTGAAATTCTTATTCAGAACCGTAAATTGGTGAATGTCCTATTGATCTTAAATCATGCTAAAAATTGATGGTATTCAATTAATGATTTTCTGAAATTCAGATTGTTGTTTCCATATTGATAAATAAAGAATCCAAGAGTCATCGCATTTGAGTGAACTCCGGTTCCCAGTTCCCACCTCCAACGGGTTTTGAAAAATTATATGATGAAATTAAAATTTTTGTTGTGTTTTTCTCCAGGTCCTGCTCAAGAACTTGTGGAAAGGCCCTTTTTTGAGACAATGGCTAGAGCACTAAGGCCTGGTGGTGTTCTTTGTAACATGGCAGAAAGTATGTGGCTTCATACCCATCTAATTCAGGATTTGATATCTATTTGCCGCAAAACATTCAAGGGTTCTGTTCATTATGCTTGGGCAAGTGTTCCTACATATCCGAGGTATAAGTCCATACATCTTCTCCGTATTGAAAGCATTTTTCTGAGTTTTGCCTCACTCTCTGTGTATGATTTGATTATATGTTGTAATCCACTCTTTGCCTGGTGATTTTATATTGCAAAAATCATTATTGGAAACCTTTGCGACAATTTAGCGTTGTGTTTGGTTTACCTTGAAAGAGTTTAGTTATAGAAGTTTTCAACTTGGTTACATGCTGTGAGTTTATTCTTATTTTTGTGTATTGTTATTTGTTGGGTGTACAGCGGGGTGATTGGATTTCTGATATGTGCAACGGAGGGCCCACCTGTGGATTTTAAGAATCCTATCAATCCAATTGAGAAGCTAGAGGGAGCAGTCAATTATCGTAGAGAACTTAGGTTTTACAACTCTGAGGTAATTACCCTTCTATTTTTTATTCACTCAAATTGTTTGTGTTACTCCGTGCCTTGGCTTAAATATATTAGTGAGTCAAATGCTTCATTGACAGTTGCTGGAACTACCAGGGTTGGAAATTTCATGAATTGAAGCATTGATTTAATTTAAAAAATAATAATAATTGATTTCTATCACGTTAACAGTTTTTTTGGGGTAAATCAAGCAAAAATATTGTGTTTTGGTTATTGGATATGTATTATGATGTTTACAATAATTTTTCTCTCAGCAATTTGTTTAATTTGATAATTATGTTGTATTAATGTTATTTTAGTCATGTTGATATGCCTTTCAAGCATCATTATTTTTTTTCTTGAGTTGTCTTGTTGTCATTCTATTATTTCCTCACCACTTCTTGTCATGGATAATTTCATTTGATTGTTTCTATTAATTTGTTGTGCCTTCGCTCTTGCCTTTTCTTCTTGATTATTTATTTTTCATTCACGGGGAGAGTGAGTGTGCAACTCTTGCTGGATTAACCTTGGCTGGGGTTGCACCAACAAGTAAAGGGTTGATCTTCTGTTGCTTTATGATTTATTCAGTCATTTTGATATAGCAAACTCAAATTGGTCCCAATTGTGCTAAAATTCATGGGGCTGTTTCTTGTGTCTTCAGCTCTCGATGGAGGGAGCTTTCTAGACATAGCATGGAATTTTGAATCATTTGAAATTGGCTTGGAGATCTAACTAGCTATAAAGTGCATGTGATGACTTTGCTAACCTTGAGAAGGGCTTGATATCTCATCATTATCATCATCCTTGCCTTAATCCCGTATAAATAGGGTCGGCAAGGCTTGATATATGGACCAACACACCCACTGTTAACACAGCAGTTTTAATTGTTTGGTGCTCTTAATTGATAATGTAGTTCAGATTGTAAATCCCAGGATAACTGTCCATGATTTAGCAATTATTACATGCTGCTGAACATAAAAGAAGTTTGTGACTCTCTCTCTCTCTCTCTCTCTCTCTCTCACACACACACACACGCTTGTGCGCATGAATACACGGACTCACTCCCACAAATAATAATATTCTTTTGCTTATTGAACAGATTCATACAGCTGCTTTTGCGTTGCCATCATTTCTGAAGAGGGAAGTGAGTTTTCTTCGTGATTCTCCAACCCCAGCATAAGCAAATTGTATTTCCAATTTGACCCACAGAAGCTCCTTTATTTTTTTGTTTTTCCTTTTTCTTTACCTCACAAATATAAGTACACTCACATCTGGGATAGACTGGAGGTGACTATGAAGTAGTTTATGTACTAAGTATAGAGGTAGGAATAGACTGAAGTGTGTTGAGCATAGAGGTAGTCATGAGCTTTGTTTTGAGGTATAGTGAAGAGTTGAACTTCAGAATTGGTTATTTGTGCAGTTTGAACAATTATATTGCTGATGACCTATCATTATTACCTAATAGTTTTTGAGACGTAATGTTTCGTCACTGATCTGGTCCAAAGTAGACATTTTCTTTTGATCTAATTGGGTTTGTGATGTTCCAAATGATGAGTAGCAAATGCTGAATTTAAGAAAGAACTATGATATTTTATGTTTGTCATTGTACTGATATGGATATGCCAATTGATTTGAAACTATATTTGATTGTTATATGGCATAAATGAAATCCTAATGTTGAAATTCTGAATGTCTCCCATATTGTGGTAAATCTCTTTTCAAGATATTGGACTCCTAGATGGTGCAGCCAATGTTGTTTTCATCACATGGTTCTCAGTTCTCACTATCCTGATGTTGGGATGGTGAGAGTTATTGGATGATCAGTAATGGTGGTGAAACATGAAGACCTGTTGCTCAGCAATCAATTAAAGTTGTGTGTGTGTGTGTGTGTGTGTGTGTGTTTAATTATATTTTTTATTTATTATTTACTGCAGAGACCCATTGGAGGAATGTTGCCATCACTAAAATAGAATGGGGTACCAAACCTGTTTAGTCACATATCAGCAACAAATTGGATGTGCAAAATGTAATTCCATTGGATGGAATCCAAGTGCATAGAGTTGTTATATGGATTGAGGAAGATAAACATAAATTCTAAAATTTGATGATTCACTCACTTTTCCTGATATACTAGATATAAATGGGAGTAGCTAACATTTAAAAGAAGAGTTAGAAGTGCCTCTGAAGTGGACATTAGAGTTTTATAATTTGGCAAAAAATAAAAATAAAAATAAAAATTGATAGGTCCAATTTCACCTTAGGGGGGAAAGAAAAAGAGAAAGAAAATAGTAATGATTTTATTTTTTTTCCCTATCACATCCAAATAGATTTTTCACTGGGAGAACAAAAAATTACCAATAATTCTACAAATTAGGCCTATAATTATTTTTATTATTATATTTTTTATAGAACCAATAAGTGTACTTTTGAAATTCTTTTCCATTCAAGTTCTAAACCACTCATTTTTTTTCACTTAAACCCTCACCAAATAAAACTGAAGTTTTGCATTTATAGTTTCTATTCTAAAATTTATATTTAATACTTTTTTTTTTTCTATGTTCTTTTGTGTTTAGTTAATTAATGAATACTCCGTATTATGTTATAAATTTAAATTATAATTAATTTAATCAAAGTACAATTCCAAAAATCTTTTGTACATTTTATAACAAACATTTGTAGTATACAAAAATTTAAAAAATATATATCAAAAAAGTTAATAAAAAAATTAATTATTTTTATTGAAATTTTTGAATAAAAATTTATCATTTTAAAAAATAAATAATAGACAAATTATTTTGAAAAAAAAAAAAAATCGAATTGCTAATAGAATTATTTTAAACATATTTAAATAGAAAAATCGGACTTACATATCAACGTAGTTGTAGAATAGTCAACCAACAGATAAGCGGGATGCAGATTCTGCCACATGTTAAGTGTTGACAGGATCTGGCACACGCCGTCCACACTCCCGTGAGTCCGTGAGCCCTCTTTCCCTGTCTCGCCAAAAGTTTCATGCTTGTATATGTGTGTGTGTCTATATTTATATATATATTTATATATATAGAGAGAGAGAGAAGCGTTTATGTATTCCAGTTTCTACAGCTCCAACACACCCTCTTCCTCAAGCCCTTCTAAAGGTATCGCCATTTTTTGTTATTAATTTATTGTTCCATTTCTTCATGTTTCTTTCTAAATATATATTTATATATATAGAGAGAGAGAGAAGCGTTTATGTATTCCAGTTTCTACAGCTCCAACACACCCTATTCCTCAAGCCCTTCTAAAGGTTTCGCCATTTTTTGTTATTAATTTATTGTTCCATTTCTTCATGTTTCTTTATCTTATCTCGATTGTATTATTGGATTTGATTAAATTTTTTTTTTTTTTTTTTTTTTTTTTTTTTTTTTCCCTCGTGAAATTTGTCTAAGAATCATCAGGTTTTTTATTTTTTATTTTTTTTATTTTTATTTTGTCTTTGTCACAGAAAATAAAAATCTTTCTCCAAAATGAATTTTATAGTTTCTTGCTAAACTGGAATGTTTGTGTTTCTAGTTCTTACTAATTAATGTCAATGTGTAGAAACAAGATTTGCCAGATGTTTGGTTGCTGAGAAAAAATGGAAAAAATGATGCTGATAAAATTATTGCAAAGGAAAAGAAAGAGAAACTAAAATTTCGAATCTTGTAGATTTTTTCATCTTTTGAACTAAGGAAAGAAATGATCTTTTCTCCTGATATTAATTCAAATTAACACGAGAAAATGAAATTTCGAAAGCTTTTCTCCTCTATTATTCATCATCAGTTTGGGTGTAAAAGTACTAAATTGTTGAATGTTCATACATTCTTTTGGACCTAAAATGACTGACTGACAGTTAATGTTGCCTATTGCCCATAGTATTCAAATTGGGACTTATATCAGCGAATCAATTTCTTATTTCAAAATCATGAATCATAAGATATGTTAACTAGTTTTAATAGATAGAAAATAATTCGTGTATATATGTAGAAGCTAAAAGTATAAAAAGGTATAGGATATAGTAATATATGACTGTTTAGCTCTTACTGGCAGATTCTTGTAAAATACTTCGTTGAGCTCATGATATTTCTGCTTCAAATTTTCAGCCAATTTAAATGTTTTAATTGTGGGTTTTGCAGGTAGTACTTTATCTGCTGCTGAATACTGGTCCATAGATGACGCCGCGTGCACTTTCAACTTGCATGCTCACTGATCAGTTGATGCTTTCAGATTATGTAATCATCCCTTCATACTCAGCTCATGATGCATACATTATTTAATTTTTTGTTTAATAATTGTGAACCCTTGCATTATAATTTATAAATCAACTTCTTTTTTCCCTCAGCTAAGTTTTTCTTAAGTAATTCTCTAAGGAGACGGGTGCTGTTGTTGGACTATATAATATATGCTCTTCTGATTTGAACATCTCAATCTTCTATAGTATCATATAGGTAAATTCATGACATGATTCGAGATGAACTCATTTGTTGCTATACTTGGAGAAGGGCTTCCATTATAAAGAGGGCACGTTCATGTTTTCAGAAGTTGATGTGTTTTCTAGCATGCTACTTATAACTTACTTTCTACCCCCTTTCAGCTTTTCTTTCCCCTTTTAGATGTCTATTGCTCTTGTTATTGGTTTTGGTAATTATGTTACATGTTAATGTTAGTATTTGGGAATGCCTAGAAGGCAAGCGACAAAGAGGCTGACCAAAGCTTCCATGGAATGAAGTAATTGAAAACAATTTCAAAAAATTAAATTTAAGAAAAGACATTGTGTATAATAGGAAAGAATGGAAAAAGAGAATTCATGTTGCTGACCCAATCCGTATGGGATAAAGGCAAGGATGACGATGATGAGGATGTTAGTATTTGGAAAAACATAGTTTGCCTAATTATACCTAAAGAGGCTATTGTCCAGTGTGGTCCCTGTAAGTTTGGGGCAAATTCAGTACATATCTAACCTTTGGCTTTATTTTCATAAAGTGGCTTCTGTCAGATTGAGCCTGTGTTCTCATGCTTTACAGCTCAAGTTTTATCGTTGCACCAAGCAATGAGCCTTGATGTCAAAAAATTCTCAGGGTGAAATTCTTTGGGTAAATTTGGTTGTTATCTTTACTCTCTAGTTATCACAAACGAACAGTTGTCATGGTTTGTTGGTTCTTTACGGGAGCTATTAACCCAACAACTTAAAATCTGAGCCAAAATATAAGTTCTTTTTACTCTATCACAAAATGATGACTACACATTTTTCAGCTTAACATAGGGATATTGATCCTCTTGTTCTGCACTGGCAACTTGTCACTTATCTGGAAGTTATCAGTAGTTTGAGTTTATTGATATTTTTCAGGACCTTAGGCTTTTTTATCTCAATTTTCCTCTCTTTGAAAACTTCTCGACTTGAGTTCCCGGCATTGTATCAGTTGAAATTTGACCATATTATGTATTTCTGATCCAGAAAAATGTCCTCTTTCTCCATCTTTTCAGGCCATTCAAACAGATAGTCCCTCAGATTTTATATCCTCCAACCTACACAGGAAGTTTCGATACCTGCCGTTTAGACTTTATGTGAAAAGGCCATTTCTTCGGGATCAAAGTTTTCAATTCTTAGTAACACAAAGAGGGAACCTAGTCCCAAGGACTATAGTATTTGCTATTCCAAATGAAAATGACGACCATGAAAGAAGAAGTTCACATGCTTGCACTGATGATTCAATGTTTACTGCTTCTGGACATGATGAGAGTCGTAAGGATCCTGGGAAGGAATTTGTTGCTTCCTTATCGCGCTCTGGGGCAGAACTGTCTCAAAGCTTCGAGATCCTGGGAGACCAAGGCAACCTTCTTGACAAACTAAGGGCTGTTCATTTACATGTATTAGCAATGGAACAATGGAATGCTTCCCGACTTAAACTGTGTCACAGGTATATCTATTATGTTAGCTGATGTAAATTGTTGATGTTGATGCACACCTTTTATGATTTTCATATTCTCTGATAGATCTTTTAGTGGCATATGTTTTATTCTCCTCCCCCTGCACCTCCTTTTAATAAGTAAATATGTATATAAACAAGCACAGGGGACACATTCCATGTACGCAGGAAGTGTAAATGAGCAAAAGAATCAAGTTTCCTCTATACAACTCAATCCTCACAAAAAATGAACAAAGCTGTAGAAGAACACAGCATGTTTTGTTCTTCCCATGCACACCACAGGGGACGTAGAACACAGCCTGTCAAGCTAATAGACAAGCAACCAATTCACGAAGAAAGTCATGACCTAACACACGTCAATTATAGAGAACATAATATACCACATATTCCTGGCCACCATACAATGGAGACGGATATGGTTTTTACTCTCTCCAACCTTTAGGGGCACCATTTCAATCCATCATTTCTCTTCCCACATAATGAGGAGCCATAAAGAACCTTAGGGAAAGCATACACGGACACCGACTTCCAATCCTGAAGAGTGCTCAAAAATTGTGGCTACCAAATAACACTTTCCATGAACCGCATATAGTCCGAAATAAGAGCTTCTCAATAGGATATGTGAACTACTTTCTAACCGATCACCACCATTAAATGATGATGCTGACCATCAAACAGACTCTGTAAGGAATATTTTGGTAAAAATCTTGTACCAATTAGTAATGATACCATTTGAATTGTTTGATTTAGAATCATCATAAATATGTTGTGGCTCTCTCACCACTCTGTCAATCCCTGTTATCAGTATTGAATTATGTTCTCACTTTTTGGTGTGATAACTTCTTTGTCGTCCATATAATTGGGAGCTCATTGGGCATGACGTGTTGCAATGACAGGTATTAGAAGTTACCAGCTAATATTTTCTTATAATTTATAGATTTAGAGTCTGAATTGAAAATTTTAAAATAAATTTCCTGAGATCAGGATTTCGGGTAAGTGTATCAGAGCATCAGATGGCAAAGAGGCTATACATCTGCAGCACAACTTCTCTAAAATTACCTTTTTGTTTTTATTTACTTATTTAATTTTTGGTGTTTTACAAGTACCTAATCCATGGTTTCTTTGTATTAGCAGAAATTATTTGGTGAGTGCAACAAATCTAATACATTATTTGGCATTAAAAGGACTTGATGTTGAGCAGCTCAAAGATGATCTTTCTTCTTTTGGTCTTCTGAATTTAGAGACCATCAATCCTAATGCCCTTGCAAGTCTTTCTGCTGGCATCCAGATGTTGGAGAACTTGAAATCTAATTCTCTAGGCAGCAAAGAGAATGTTGGTGGTGGAATTTTCTCTTGGAAAGGTTTGGACAAACAAGCAAAGGGAGACTTCACAATAAATTCAATGAGAAAAATGTCATCGTTTAATACGGAATCACTGTTGGGCGCAGTGCAAGATGAGAGAACAACTCATATCATGGTAACAGTTGGCCAAGAAGCCGTAGAAAGTGAAACACTTTTAACTGATCTTCTGAAGTCAGGGACCACCATCATTCGTATAAACTGTGCTCATGGAAACCCAAGTGTTTGGAGTGAGATTATCAGAAAGGTGAGGAGTAGTTCTCAAATGCTGGAGAAACCATGTCGAATTCTCATGGATTTAGCTGGACCCAAGCTCCGAACAGGTAACCTGAAGGCTGGTCCATGTGTAAAGAAAATCTCTCCTAAAAAGAATGCCACTGGAAATGTGATCTTCCCTGCCCAAATTTGGTTGTCTCCTAAAGGAGGAGGCCCCCCACCTGCTCATTTATCTCCTGATGATGTTCTCTACATAGATGGCCAAGAATTCCTCAATAAGCTAGAGTTAGGTGATGCTGTGAGATTCTATGATGCTAGAGGAAAGCAAAGGACACTAAAAATTTCTAAGAAATTTCCCATTTTTGCTGGAGTTGGATACTTGGCTGAGTGTTCAAGGACTGCTTATGTTCAATCAGGAACAGAGTTGTGTATTAAGGGCAAGAAAGGGAAATATTCAGTTGGACTCTTGGTGGATGTCCCTGCCATAGAGCAGTTTGTCAGGGTGAAAGTTGGAGACATGCTAATCATAACACGGGATAACTCAGATAACCAGGATGAATCAACTGACACCCAAATTGGTGCTCACAGGGTAACTTGTTCATCTGGATATCTTTTTGATTCAGTCAAACCTGGAGAGCCCATTGCTTTTGATGATGGGAAGATTTGGGGAGTAATCCAAGGAACTAGTATTTCGGAAGTTATTGTTTCAATCACTCATGCGGGTCCCAAAGGTACTAAACTTGGCTCGGAGAAATCAATTAACATCCCAGAGAGCGACATTCGGTTTGAAGGCATCACTTCAAAGGATCTTGTGGATCTTGATTTTGTTGCTACTCATGCTGACATGGTGGGAATCTCTTTTGTCCGAGACATTCATGATATTGTTGTGCTTCGCCAAGAGCTTGAAAAGCGGAAGCTGCGGAACTTGGGGATTGTTTTGAAGATTGAGACAAGAGGTGGGTTTGAGAAATTGCCACTCTTACTACTGGAAGCGATGAAGTCTCCAAATCCTTTAGGGGTTATGATTGCCAGAGGAGATCTTGCAGTGGAGTGTGGATGGGAAAGGCTGGCATATATACAGGAAGAAATTCTATCCATTTGCAGTGCAGCCCATATACCAGTCATTTGGGCAACTCAGGTGCTGGAGTCACTTGTTAAATCCGGTGTGCCTACTAGAGCTGAGATCACTGACGTAGCTAATGCAAAGTTGTAAGTATTTGAGTTCATACTTTCTTATCATGAATATTTCATGCTCTATTTGGATGCTGAGTGACGGTTATGGAGGGGCATAGTATCTGTCTTCTTAAGCTTTCGAGTAATTGTTCTAACATCTTATCATAGTACTTAGGTCCTGCATTCAAATATTAATTCCTAATTCAAAGGGGAATCTGAACACACATTTCTTATTTTATTATTATGATTTTTTTTTTTTTTTTGTTTTTTTGGATGGCTTGGGGAGAGGTGGGGCTGTTTAGATATGGAAGGTAGTCTAGTCTTCTTTAGTTTTAAAAGCTTTTCTATTCTGTTAGAATCATATTAAGCCAGTAAATTGCACTTCTAGTTGCCTCGTGATAACCTGCTAATGTTTAACTCCTCACCAAAGTTATTTCAATCTGTTCCTCAGGGAAACTTCCCACATTTTTTTTAGTCAAGGAATTCCTTTTCTTATTTTCTTTGTTTTCTTCAAACAAAAATTGCACTTAAATAATTGACAAAAATAAAGGTACTATTATACTACGCTTGGCAGGGCAAGTTGCATTATGTTGAACAAAGGGAAACATATCCTGGAAGCTGTCTCAACTTTGGATAAGATTTTGCACAGCAGCAATGCAAAGGTTAAACCAATATCAAAGCCTCTTATGTTGTCCAGTCACCAATCTTAGTTTTAAATCAATTACTCATCCGCAGCAGTTCAATTCCATGTACGATAAGTGTTCTATCAGATTCTTTTTCTATGTAATCTAGGAATTTTCAAGATTGGCTGCTCGGAATATCTAGTAATCTGTATATATACTTTCTTTGCATTCTTGGCTGTCATACTTTTACTCTTTCGGTCGGTTGTGTGCCTAAATGCGTTCCCTTCTCTCTCCTTTATGCATCTTGAATTCTGTAAATATTTTTTATTAAATTTCACATTCTTATAATTATCACAATTTCACTCAATTTGTTGGATTTTGCACATTGTTGGGAAAAAAAAAAATAAAAAATAGAATTTTTTTTTTTTTTTTTTTTGGCTTTTAGGTGCATTGATGGTTCATCTGCTGACAGTTCCCATACCTAGAGCTTACACTTGTTCCCAATTTTCTTTTCCTGTTTTTTTTTTTAGCCTATTAGTACAGACAAGCGCATGCCCGTGCCATACTATATGTATATATCTTAGTGAGAACAGCGATGATGCCCCCAAGGAAGGAGCTGTACAGTATCTTAGGGTTGATGTAGCTTGATAAACTAATACATGTACTGCTTAAAAATGTTATCCTGAAGCTGTTTTTAACAATGTTTTGGACTTCACTTCATTGCAGTGACAACTTTAAGGGAGACCCGTTATTAATAAAATCTTAAATTGCATATGCTCTGAATTTTTTAGCCCTTTATGGAGGGTGTAAAGTGAGATGTTGATTGGAGGGTGAAGCACCAAGCGGTATTCAGTGTGAGAAGTGGTTGAATCAACAAAACAAGTCCCTTATGTGGTTCTTTTTTATCCTATATATGTTGATCTCAGTCTCAGTTCTCTCTCCAAATGATGACTAAATTCACACTAATTTAATACCAATCCTTACTAAGTTTGTTAGCATGACTTTTCATTGACATAGGATTAAAATAAACTAGAAGATTATCATTTCCAGATACATACAACAGTAGCTGTTGTGCATCCACTAAAGGCACGTTCAAAAGGAATCAATGCACGCTGGCTATGTGTTAGGATAATGTTACGGAGCTTCGGCTTCGACTGATTTATATAAGTGAGGACGACAACATCATGATATTATTAATATTTATGACGTTAAGATATCGATTGATTTATATTAGTGGAATTTAACATCATAATGATGTCGTTAATATTCATACAAGTGAAGGTTGACATGACTTGATGTTATATTAATCACCTTTTATTATTGCATACCATGCATATATATATATATATACACGCGCGCGCGGGGGGAAAGAAATTAATGATGCCATGTACATATAAGTGATGTATACAATGACTGTCTAATATTAATACTCCGTAATTGTTAGATTTTAGGCAACTATTACTTTTAAGAAGCATGAACATGACCTTTTAAAAGAGTGAGTGTTGACTCAATATGGTCCCCTAATGAGAAGTGACTGTTCAAGCTAGACAAGTCAAGCATTTTATCAATGCACTAGACAATGAATCCTAACCATAAAATCTACTTCCTATCAAATAAATTGACAGTAGCAATATGGATTAGCACAAAAAAGTAAAAGGGAAATAATATCGTTTCTCTTCAAATAGTTTTGAAAATTCTCTATTGTGTGTGTATATATATATATATATTAGGATAAACTACATTAAATTCTCTTTTTCTATTTGTGTTTTTCACTAAACTTCCTTTATATATATATATATATATATATATAAATATAAATTTCAAGAAAAAAAAAAACATAGATTTATATTGGGAAAAAAATTTAGGCATTATTTATAGTAGTGTCCCTTTAATAAATCTATATAAAATGAAAATCAATAAAAACCAAATAAATGAATGCACAATATAATTCTCAAATATGTATATAGCAAATAAATTTCAAGAAAAAAAAAAAAAAAAAAACACCTAGATTTATATTTGTCTGAAGGCTAAATGGAAATGAAAATATATTTAAATAATATTTAATGATGCATATTATATATACCATTATATTATGATACAAATTATATGTAATATTATAATGATGGGTAAATAAAAGAAGTTGAACAAGAAGAAGAGTACATGTTGTTGCAATGGTTTTTTTTCCAATATAAATCTAGGTTTTTTTTCTTGAAATTTATTTGCTATATATATATATACTTGAGAATTATATTTTGCCTTCATTTATTTGGTTTTTATTGATTTTTATTTTATATAGATTTATTAAATGGACACTACTAGAAATAATGCCTAATTTTTTTATTTTTTATTTTTCCAATGTAAATCTAGGTTTTTTTTCTTGAAATTTATTTGCTATATATATGTATTTGAGAATTAAATCACCCCCCTCTGATAGTTAGTTAACGGAAGTTAGTTAAATCACCCTTTTTAATAATTGAGGGGGAGCTTTTTGACAAAAAAATAAAAAATTGGGTTTAGTGAAAAACACAGATAGAAAATGGGGATTTAATGTAGTTCACCCTATATTTTATGATCTCATGTACTAGTTAAATCACCTCCCTTTAATAATTGAGGGGGAGCTTTTTGACAAAAAAATAAAAAATTGGGTTTAGTGAAAAACACAGATAGAAAATGGGAATTTAATGTAGTTCACCCTATATTTTATGATCTCATATACTTCATGTTATATTTGAAAATATTGAATAAGTGTCTTAGATTTGAAATTGAAGAAATAAGGTTGACCTTCATACAAAAAAATAAAATAAAATAATAAAATAAAATGAAAATAAGCTGCCATTTGATGTAATTGAAAGTGTCTGAATTTTAAGGGGGTAACAATCTATAATAAATGACATTAATATCACTAAAATTTGGATTTATCCCAAAAAAAAAATGTCACCTAAAATTTTATTTCATTTGAAGTGACAAATTTTTTTGCCTTTTCAAGTGCTAATTATTTGTTTATTAATTTATTTTTATAGGTAGGTTAAAATCAAGTGCTAAATTGTCTTATAAAAAAACCATTAACACAGTATTTGGAATCCCAGGATTTGATGGGAATTGAATTTCAAAAGTAATTTGTCATGTTTGGAATAATAGGATTTTAAAAGGGAATTGGATTTGATGGGATTCCATAGGAATATATTGTAATGTAAAAAAATCCGTGAGAAATTAAAGAATTTAAAGATATTTGTTAACTAAACATTGAGCTTATCAAAATTATCCTTCTATGCTACAAAATGCTCTATTTTACAATTTACCTCTTTCAAGTTTTTATTGTCTCTAATCCGTACCCAAAAAAAATTTCCTTCTCAAATTATCTTCTACAAATTCCAATTCTATGCTACAAATTGCTCTATTTTACAATTTTCCTCTTTCAAGTTTTTATTGTCTCCAATCCGTACCCAAAAAAAATTTCCTTCTCAAATTATCTTCTACAAATTCCAATTTATTCCAAATTACAAATAAAATTCTATTTTAATTACAATCTAATTCCTTTTCTAATTTTATTTCCAAATTCCAAAAAATTTTGGTTAAGCGTAAAAGAGCTCCATGGCTTAACCAATAATAACTCGCCACGTCAAGAATCAAGATTTGTTGGACTTCCAGTATACGGCAACGTGGCATTTTCTGGCTGGTTAGTCAGTCCAATTTTCCATCGGCACGGGCACAGACGATAATAAACCCCTGAGTGGATGCATGAGGAGTGCCACGTTGCCGCTTCTCTTCAGAAGCTACAATAGCCAGGCGTCTCTCTCGTGTATCTCTGAATCTCTCTCTCTACTTTTTCACTTCACAAAAAACATTCATTCGCATATTCAGATTCATATATATACCGAATTACCAATACCATAATCTGCCCCTCAGTTTCTCTCTCTAGGGTTTCAGACTGCCCTCCAATTTTTAGAGAGAGAAAGCGATCATTCTAGAGCGAGAGAGAGAGAGAGAAACTTTCCTTCTTTACCATCATGTCCGATTCGAGCTGAATCTCAATCACTCCTACCTCATATTCGGATCGTCACACTTCGATCCGATTACATCAGCAGCTATACCTGGAAGATTCAAGGACCGATCTGTAATCATTCAAATATATATATATTTTTTATTTCTTTAATTCAGTTCAGCTATTAAATTCATCAATTAAGATTACTTTTCATAATCACCTTCTCGGATGTCTTTCAAGATGTGTTTTCGCAGTCCGCGGAGTCGAGTAGTTTGAAAGTAAGATCCGGTCTGTATTTCTTTAGCTATCTTTGCTTAATTTGATTTTTACTTTATAATCTGTCTTTTTTATCATGTTATTTAAAGGGTGTCGTTTTGGTTAGATCTATACTTTGTTTGGTTGCTTAGAAAATGTAGGGAAAGCGAAAAATTCAGTTATGAATTTGAAATGTTACATTAATGTGAAGGATAAGTAGATTTTGGTTGCTGAGAAAATGCGGGAAATGAGAGAAGCTTTAAATTTTGAACTTTGAATTTTTCATTGTTTGGGGCTGAAGAAAGCCAAAGCCTAAGCTGTAATACTACTATTCGGCTTAGTTAAAATCAAGTTTTTTTTCGAAATACAAAAGCAACATGGAAAATCAGATCCAAGATTATTTTTTTTTAACATCATGTTCGTTAGTTGAATTATTAACAGGTGATCTTTTTTTATTTTCTTTGCGGGAAAACATAAGCTTCAAGATCGTTACTTTATTTTGTTTATCCTTAGGGTTTTCAGCAACAAAATGTTAATAGTCATATGAAGAGATTTTAATTGAACGAGATTGATTTCACATTGATATTGGAAAGTTGTTTTGGTTTATTAGGGTGAAAATCTGGCCTATAGGCCACGATTGTTGATTTAATTGGTATGCAACACTTAAGGGCGCTGGTTGTTCAGGCGGGCAATATTGGGAGATTCGCCAAGGGAAGGGTGCAACTGAGCAATATCAGGAGAGATTTGAATGCAACTCAGCGCATAAGTTATACATTGAATTGTAACTTTACGACGGGAAGGACAATGATGGTGGATACAGGCGCAACTGCAAACCAAGGACCCACTATTGATGTGTTACCAGAGAAAGATGATGATGGTGGCTATGCTAGCGGTGGATGGAAAAGGTGATTGCATTTTCTAATATTTCCATCCTGTCATTTTTCCTTAGTAGATTGGTCCTGCATGTATATATGTGTCACCGTTTACTGTCCTTGGGACTTGCAGAATGCATTATAGTTTTTAAGTAAACATGAATATTGTTAGATGTAAGCTCAGCTAGGTCCTTTCTATAGTCAAGATATGACCATATCTTTTGTGTATTGTGTTGCTTCATAGGCTAAGGCCGTGTTTGGAAGTTTCACGAAGATTTAATTGCTCACTTAATGTTTAAACATAACTAGATACAAATCTATCGTTGTGAAAAGGTTATTAATGAACATGGCTGCCAAGTCTGCCATCATTGCGACATAGTCGAGTTTCAGTATAGCTGCTTTCCATCAGATTTTAAAAGAATATTCCTATACCAGTAGTTGTGATGATGAATCTTGAGGGTCTCTTTCGTCTAGCAATTTCAGATGCCATGTAAAAGAGAGTAGAGCTTCATGATTTCCGCGGGATGTCCAAATTGCTATAAAGAATCATATCTTTTGATGAAAATTGTAGGAGTGAGTTTGACATTGTGATATAGATTTATAATGTATTGTAAACCTAAAAATAGTTATATCGCAACTCAAGGAGTAGTTTAAAATTTTCTTACCGCCAACTTTATGCCATTGATCATTGCTTCATGTAATAGGGTGGACAGCCATTTTTAAAATGCTGGAGGTTGTTCACCCCTACAAGCATCCTGGTTTGAGGTGATCTACAAAGGTTAAGTTGCCTTTTGTCAACCTCATGGCTATGTGTAACATCTCTGTTTGAGTGGAGATTACCAGAAAAATGAGATAAGAATAGTTAGTTCTCCCATTTTCTTTTTAGACTGCCTTTGCAATCAAACAAATTCTCTTCAGAATTGGTGACTTCGAAAAAAGTGTCTTCTTTCCACCCATTGATCTCCCATCTCCAAATTTGTTTCCTTTACTGCCATTTTTGTCAAACCATGTAAATTACCTTTTTCTAAATTTGCGTCGTATATTAAATATTAAGGAATAAAATAAAACAAACGACGATATTAAAGTTCTATGTTCTTTGGCAATGAATGTACTGATGCTATTATCTTACAACATTGTTTTTGAAGTTCAGTGATCAGTTCCACTTACTTTCAGTTTCTTTTGTAATTGACAGTGAAGATGGAAGACTGAGCTGCGGATATTCGAGTTTTAGGGGAAAGAGAGCTAGCATGGAGGATTTCTATGATGTTAAAGCTTCCACGATTGATGAGCAAACAGTGTGCCTGTTTGGGATATTCGATGGTTAGATAACTCTCATCATCTTTTACCTTGTAGCTTGAGTAATGGAGTCACAGACTTCTAGTGTTATGCTTTCTGAGAAGCATAATGGTGTGAGTGATGGTGTTTGACATTGACTGGAAGAGTCCAACATAGCAAAATCATAAAAAAATAAGTATCAGTAGCATGGGAATCGGTTTCTAGGATGTCTTGAAAATCTGTTTCTGTGGTGAAAAGACTTGCTGAAGTAGGGGAATCTTTGTTACATGGACCTTGACTGTTATATATGGTAATCATGATTAATGTGTAGAATATCTGGGCAGTGGGCATGTAGAGCAAACTTAGGGTTTTGGGACACAGTTACTTTTAATGACCCTAAAAAACAGATTTCATAATTAAAATATCATAGTCATTGCATCTGCTGGCCACATTTATTTCGATTTAATTACGATCTTTTAGAAACGTGCGGTGTTAGTTAGGAATTTAATTTCCTGGAAAGGTCAATGTTTGGTTGTAGATCTCCGAACCAACCCTTTTTCACGTGTTCTATGGTAACTGTTCTTTATGGATCCACTTTACAACTTTTGCTGTTTTGTATTAAGATTGAGTTGTCATTATAATCATAAAATGAGAGTGGTGATGGTTGACATTGACTGGAAGAGTCCGATATGGCAAACTCAAAAAAAAAGAGGATGTATCAGTTGCATGGGAATCGGTTTCTAGAATGTCTTGAAAATCTGTTTCTCTGGAGTAAAGAATTGCTGAAGTAGGAGAATCCTTGTTACATGGACCTTGACTGTTATATATGGTAATAATGATTAATGTGTAGTATATCTGGGCATGTAGAGCAAACTTAGGGTTTTGGGACACAGTTGCTGCCTTTAATGACTCTAAAAAGCAGATTGCATAACTAAAATATCACAATCATTGCATCTGCAGGCCACATTCATTTCGATTTAGTTACGATCTTATAGAAAGGTGTGTTGTTAGTTAAGAACTTAATTAGCTGGAAAGGTCAATGTTAGGTTGTAGATCTCCGAGCCAAGCCTTTTTCACGTGTTCTACTTGTCTTGACAGTTGTGTTATTGATGGTAACTATCCTTTATGGATCCACATTATAACTTTTTCTATTTTGTATTAAGATTGTTAATTGTTCTTATAATAATAATTATTATTATCAGTATTAGTATTATTATTTTAACAATTATAAGCTGTAATGACAGGTCATGGCGGATCTCGCGCGGCTGAGTTTTTGAAGGAACATCTTTTTGAGAATCTCATGAAACATCCACAATTTATTACAGACACCAAATTGGCTATAAGTAAGCCCTAGTTTCTCCATTGCTTTTTGCTGCAGCAGATTATGTCAGGATAGCATATGCTGGTGCAAAATATCTAAATATGTAAATTTTATTCAGGATAAACTATAGAAAATAAAACTGCAAAGAAGTCTGTCATTTTCCTTTGCATGTTGGGTTTGGATTTATTCATGAACATAAATTTCACCTTGTAATGTGTAACTTGCAGGTCTAACATATCAACAAACAGACATGGACTTTTTGGAATCTGAGAAAGATACTTACAGGGATGATGGTTCCACTGCTTCTACGGCAGTGTTGGTTGGTAACCATCTATATGTTGCCAATGTTGGCGATTCACGGACTGTAATATCAAAGGCTGGCAAAGGTAATAGACTAATATTAAAGTTATTGTCTTTTAGTTTGATAGCTTGAATGGATTTGGAAAATGTTTTAATTTGACATCTACTTATTTATTTATATTTTTATGGTGAACATCTATTTTTTTTCCTAGTTGGTACTCACACACACGTCTCTTTTGAGACTTGAACCCCTGACCTCCTGAAGGGAGGTAAGAGGCTGATACCGCTAGGCCACTGGCCGTTAGTGTGAACATCTATTAATTTATGTATATTTTTATGATAAACTTCAAATTAGTTGCGACGCAAATTAGCAAGGCATGAGCTGCATGACCCGTGAATATCATTTTTCACGCACGAAATAGGCTAATTCAGCAGTTTTTTTTTTTTTCAATTTTTCGTGGAGTCAAAATCTCACAAGTACTACTACTAGTAAAGGAAATAGTTTATTGACTTATGATTTCCATATAAAGGACATGACAAGCTTAGAAACCCTCTTTAATTTATATCCTGACAGACTGAATATCCTTTATAAGGAATCGGTGTAATATGCGCCTCATCGGGAAAAGGAATCTCATTCTCGTTAGTTATTGTGTCCAGGTCTGCTGCATGATTCCCCTTTCTTAGCATATGATAATTTTATCTGCCACATTGTTCTTAGTTAAAGTGGAAGAATCGTGTGGTTGTAGGAAAAGGAGAAGAGGAAGAAAGAAGAAAGAGAAAATCTGTAAAGGTATTGAGAGTCGTTGGGTTTCCCACATCTCTCACCTATTTATATATATTGATAAGATGGAAGTACAATAGGCCCTTAATGAAAGAAAATAAATAACTCACACTCCAACATTGTTCATGATAGGATTTTTAGGAACATCTTTGACATTGTCTTTCTAAATCTAAGCTCAGGATAAGTTGCACATATTAATCAAATATGACGTATAAAAATGGAGCAATAATAGAATAACCGTAAAAAAGATGACCTGGATGCGAAGTGTGTAATAAATTGGTGAGTAGAACTTTTTTTTTATAAGTGAATTGGTGAGTAGAACTTACAGAGATGCATCAACTGTTGATATGCAACCAGGAAATTGTGGATGAAACCCCCCTTAAGGTGTAGGTGGCGGTGTATCAGTTTTTATTGAGGAACAAAGGAAGGTATAAGAACATAATTTGTTATAATTAAACAGCAATAGTAAATATAAATATTTTACACCATACTTCATAGCATGTATAGCCAAACATGAGAATATGGGTTTGAGTACAAAGGCATACCTTATGTAAATAATGTCTTAGTTAGATGTGCATCAAAGCTATCTCTACCAGCATTATGTTATTCTCCATTTGCTTTCTTATATTTCCATTTGAATCAGAATTTTATTTTGTGAGGTTTTTCCTTGACATTAGCCCTTCTCTTGTTGTTGTGGTATATCCAGACAGATAGTGGAGTATTGGATTGATGATATCAGGCTATGGTGTGTACTTTTTGAACAAAAAATTGAGTACATATCTGTGCCAAAATTTGGTCCTATAAAGCAAATAAGCTATTGTTTTTAATTTACAGTTGTAAAAATTGTCCCCTTCACCTTTGTGTGGGGAGAAGAAAATCAATGACCCACGATTTGTGAGATTCCATTTACTTAGAATGTGAACTTCAGTAAAGAATGTTCAATTTGTGCTCCATATAATTTTATTTATTTATATTTATATTTATAATTTTCTCCAGCAGTATGGGCCACACAACAGGGGTAGCCCTTCCCTTACCCGTAACATCATCCCTCCCCCAACCCCCCAAAAAAAAAAAAAAATAGAAAAAGAAAAGAAAAGAAAAGAAGAAGAAGTGTGGGTAAAAGAGACTAAACATGTCCCTCTACTGGAATTTGAGTTTTGTACCATCCCAAGTGGAGGTGTAGCGCAGGGCCAGCTGGAGCGTTAGGCGAGTTAGGCAATTGCCTAAGGCCCCAAGCCCCCAACCAATAAGAAGGCCCCAATTTTTTTTTCTCTTTATATATTATAACTTCTTAAAAAAAATTATTTCCTTCAATTATTAAATCTCAACTAATAAAGAGATTTGATATTGAGCCTAAAGATTTCTATCATTTTTCACTTTCTTTTTCTTCAGCCCAAAAAAAAAAATATTCTTTATGTATTATAACCTACCTAAAATTTTTATTTTCTTCTATTATTAAAGCTTAACCAAAAAAGAAATGTAATAGTGGACCCTAAATATTTTTATACCTATATCAAATTTTTTTTCTTTTTCTGTCTCTTATCCTCATTAAATCACTTACACACCAACCTCAAGTATTAAATATTTATTTAATCATTATGGTGGGAATTGGTGAGACCTTTTCTATTTTTCTAAGACTCCTATTAACTTATATATATATATATTACCTTATTCCTCACATATTTCCCTCCTCTCTCATTTTATCTTCTTTTTTTTTTTTATTTATTTATTTTTTTCCTCTCTTCTCCACTCAGTACTCGTTACAATTTACAATTTCACTATCTCACTCCGTCCGAAGATTTTGAATACATTTTTATTGTATTGAAGAATTTGTTGGACCATTGGATCAAATTCTTCGAAATCAGTTTTTATTGTTCTATAACTTAAATTATTTTATAGTTTTATTAATTTTTGTTATCATAAAATTATATATTTTACTTGTGAGTTGTAATTACTTTTATTTATATTGTTGAATGTGTCTACAAGAAAGCACAAGCCAAATAACTAATGATGTAACTAGAGATTGGAAAAATCTTGGTGCTAAGTAAAAAATCACGAAACAACTAATGAACATATTTATTAATACGAACATATAGTTAGATTTTATTAAAAGACTACTTTATTTTTTTCGCCTAAGGCCTCAAATTATATCAGGCCGCCCCTGGGTGTAGGAGTCATTTCCTGAGCTATAAAGCACTACTTGGATCTTCACATGTGCATGTCATATCCATAATTTGGAATATATATTATTCAAACATGTATCTAATATTTGTTGGATACTCCAGTACACATTTCTAACACATTTGAACATTAAGATGTTTTTACCATGGCATTATAGTAAGAAGAAGAAGAAGTGTGTGTAAAAGAGACTGAACATGTCCCTCTACTGGAATTTGAGTTTTGTACCATCCCAAGTGGAGGTGTTGGAGACATTTCCTGAGCTATAAAGCACTACTTGGATCTTCATATGTGCATGTCATATCCATAATTTGGAATATATATATTATTTCAAACATGTATCTAATATTTGTTGGATACTCCGGTACACATTTCTAACACATTTCAACATTAAAATTTTTCTACCATAGCATTATAGTTTGATTATGAGGAAAACATAATAAGGGTCTCAAAAACTTGAACTCCTTAGCAGAGAAGAATTAAGATATAATGAGAGCAAATCATGGGTAATTTGGTCAGCGTCAAGCTAGAAACAAATTATATTTAACAATATCACAAAAAATAATCGTTTCTTATAATTTTTTAATCAACAATTATTACTTATAATGTATATATAGTGTCAAACAATTTAATTTAATTTTTATACATACGTTAATAAAAACAGTATATATACATGCATATACATATGTATACACAAGCACATGCATGTGCGCACTCACATATATATACATATATATATATTGTTGTATGTATTGTCACACTGTGGCCTTTTAATAGTTTATTGTACCAGCAGGTGTGTAATATGAATGTGCCTGATTTTGTTTTTCCATGTCGACTTCCACAACTAGTTGTGGCAAATTGTTTTTGATAGTTTAGTATATAAGTTGCCACAATGTAAATATTACAATATCCTTAAAAGAATGCTCTGAAATAGTAAATCATGTAGAAAGCATTAGTTTTTAAAATGCTTTGGTGGATGTGCCATCTATTAATTGAAAGAGATGCTTTAGTTTCATTTGTTTTTCTGTCTCCCAGAAATTAGTGTTGTTAGGGGCTTATTTGTTATTTACTTATATAATGTTGGGTGCTTATGTGTAATTTCTAAAACTTGTTAGTATAAATAGAATGTGGTGGAAGGATGAAAGGATTCTTTCATTCATTCTCTCTTTCCCCATCTCTCTCTCTTTTTCTTTCCTCCTCTTTCTTCTTCTTCTTCTTCTTCTTCTTCTTCTTCTAGGTCTTATAAATATTGGGAGGTGTTGTGGTTCTAGATTTGTTATTGTTATTATCGCGAGATTCACATAAGTATGGAATATATATGTTTATATGTTTTTCTATTGATAGTATAGATAATAAATGGTTAAATGATAATAGATATTTGATTTTTTTTTTTCTTATCGATTAATTTAAACTATTAATCTTCATTAAGTAATTCCATAGATAACTTTGGTTAAATGCCACACTCAATATTTAGCAATGCCACACAAATCTTCTGACAATAATTTGTACATTATATTTTACTTATCAAAAAATAATAATAATAATAATAATTTTTACATTATAAAAATATTAATAAGGGGATATTCATATAAATTATAACATACCAAAGAAGCAAATATGTTAAGAATGAATAGGTAAACACATGCAACTATAACAAACTTGCTTGAAACTGTTCTAGGAGTTTTGTGCATCCAAAAACAGTTAATAGTTGAATTATCACGTACCACTGTACCAGTAGTTTAACGCTTGATGCACCCAAGGTTTTTTTTTTTCCCCCTGATTTGATCTGGTATCAATTTATAAATCAATAGTATTGGAATAAAGGCAAGGATGATGATGATGATTATGATGATGAGTAGTCGCGTGATTGAATTATTTTTAATTCTTCTCCTGGTATATATAATGCGTGTTAAATTTAGTATTGTAGATTTAAAGCTGGAATTTCTTTAAGCAATTTCTTTTTTCCTGCTGACCAGCAATTCCTCTTTCTGAGGATCACAAACCAAATAGAAGTGATGAGCGGAAGAGAATTGAAAGTGCTGGAGGTATTGTGATGTGGGCAGGTAATTTCTCTTTTTCCACAATCCCAACTGATCTGAGGTGCTGGATCAAAACTGTGATGGTTTTAGCATAATTAGTTTATTTTTGGTTATATTCTGTTTCAAATAAAATAGACATTTTTGCACATGATTTCTTTCGGGTGGTAAAAAGTGTTTGAACTTCTGAAAATAGAAGCTTTCATCCACTTTTGGTAGAAGCATCTGATTGGGTCAATTTTGGGTCTTTTGACACGATACACATTGGTGGAACCCGATTGGCTGATTTGTCCATCACTCCATCCTACCCATGCTCTTCACAGTTGCTTTTAGATATTTTTATCCTCTAGTGGCCCAGTGGAGTGCTGATACCGTTATTGTGTAATTATCTATGATCTGGGCTTCCAAAGCACGACCATTTTGGGCATTAGCAAATGAACATGTTTGAAGCCTGATCCTGGATTAGGCATTCAGGTTTGAGATTTAAACTGTTCAAACTTGTTTTTATACTTGCGTTGTCATATATCTTAAATGTGCAAGTGCGGGAAATGGGAATAGAATATCTGTATATTGGACAGCTGTCTGGATCGCCTATCACATCTCTGCAGGATTAAAATAATCTCGAATTGCAATAATTGGCACATTTAATTTCTCGGTTTTAAGTTATGTTTGTTGATTCTCTTTCAGGCACTTGGAGGGTAGGAGGTGTCTTAGCAATGTCCCGTGCCTTTGGTAACCGCATGTTGAAGCAATATGTTGTTGCAGAACCTGAAATTCAGGTGACCTTTAAAATCCACTATAATTTGATTTCGTGTAATCCTATTTGTTTATTAGAAGGTAACGAGGTAATGGCTTTTCCTTTATTTTGTGGAGCTTTATTAGGCCTGAGGCTCTTGCCATTGTGGGGTCTAGGGAGGAAGCTTATTAGCTACAGGAAATAACCTCTACGCATGTGGAGGTAAAGCTGCATACATCTGACCCTCATCAGAGGGTGGGCCTTGGTGCAACAGTAAGGTTGTGCCATTGTCGCCTGGAGGATCACGGGATGAAACTAGTGATGGACATATGATTAGGAAAGTCCTAATTTGATAAAGTCGAGTGAAAAAATCTGTTTTCTTTGTCTTTTTCTTTTCTTTTTTTTTTTTTTGGGGGGGGGGGGGGGGGGGGGGGGGGGGGGGGGTGCATGGTCTGGCAGGAAATTTTCCCAAAAGGAAATTATACAGCTTAACATCCAAGCTATATAGTTTAATGTATTGATTTCTAATAATAAACTAAATTATTTAATAATGGGTGGAAAAGGGGTTGCTTATTATTAGCTTGTTATTAGGGAAAGGAAGGATGGCTGCATTTTTCCACTGTCATCTTCTGATCTCAATATTTCAGTATGGATTGAATAGTGCCAGAGAATGGAGCTGACCATTAGCAGACTTCTTTAGGATTAAATTCAGAATGATAGGATTCTGTGACATAGAAAATAAGTGTCAAACATGGATTTTAAAAACCTGCAAATGTATTCCTTGATCTTTAAGAAAGCGCAAAAAAAAAAAATATAAATAAATAAAAAAAAAGAAAAAAAAAAAAGAAGTAAAATGAATAATAATAATAATAAAGCAAGGAACTTACTTTCATGGTGTAAATATTATTTTGCGTACTCTATTAAAGTTGATATTTTTCTAATTAACACTCGATATTCTTTTGGGTAAAATGTACTCCTTGACCTTTAGTCAAGGTGGATTAAGCCAAACAATTTTATTTTATTTATTTATTTATTATTATTATTATTTTTGTGAACAGTCTCAATGCCCTCATTGGAAAAATTTGCTAATTAATACTTCAAAGTAGATAAAAAATTAAAAAGTAAAATAATAATAATAAGAAAGCAAGGAACTTACTCTCTTGTGCTGTTAATATTCTGTTGACGTAGTCTATTAAAGTCGATATTTTCTAATTAAGGCGTGATAAGTGAATCTTGGGCATTATACCATGGCATGATAATGTGAAATGATTGCTAGCATGGGATACATGTTCACAGTTTAGAAGTAACATTTGGTGATCTTGCGTAGTTAAATTCTCCAAGCATTTGCCCTCCTTCCGTACATTTTAAGAACTTCACTCTTAATGAAGTGAATATGGTGGCTGAACAAATCTTATAGTTGGACACATACTACGTCAGAACTTGTACTTAAATCTATGTGAAAGAAAGGTTGTGATGGAGTTTTCTTGCTTGTATTTTAATTTCTTAAGAACAAATTTCCGTTGATTTTCATTTTGCTTCTCAGGAACAAGAGATAGATGAAGAATTTGAATTGCTTGTGCTCGCGAGTGACGGCCTCTGGGATGTGGTACCGAATGAGGTAAGCCCATTGGTGAATGATGACAATATATATGTAGACTGTTGGAAATTTGAGGGGAACTTGAGAAGGCAAATAAAAAAGCTTATTCAGGTTCATTGACCTCACAAATGGAGTGTCAGATGTTTCTGTTTGATTGTATGTTGATGCATCATGTAGCGATGTGTTTTGGCTACTCCATGATTGTTGGAAGTTGCTATGCTTTTCAGTTTGTCGCTCGTAAGAGTGGACTCTAGAGTGGATGAGAAATCACATTAAGGAAGTTGGTTCACCTAAAGATCCATCTGTTATATTATGAATAATACCGGCATTACTCTGTTGTGCCTTGATGTATCATGCAGTAGTTGCGCCAGTTTGATGTCATTGTAGCTAAAAACTGCATGAGCACTAAACTCTCTAAAAGGCCATTGCCTAGTGCTGCTTTCCTACTTGAGATGGTAGGATTATCGTTCCTATTTGCTGATACATTCATGTACAATTTTATCAGGATGCTGTATCCCTTGCACAATCTGAGGAAGACCCTGAGGCAGCGGCTCGGAAGTTAACAGAAACTGCTTTCACTCGTGGCAGCGCCGACAATATCACCTGCATCGTGGTGAAGTTTCACCATCATAAAGCAGATCCAGCCAGTCCCCAGCATGATTAGGATGACTTGGTTGACACAGCATGTGTAACGTCATCAACATTTCGGTAATCCAAGGCAGAAGTCTGCAAGTGCACAATTGGCGAGTGTGCATGCCAACATGGATGCAATTTGTTTATTCATTGGTTTGTTTCTTGTTTTTGCTATTGTAATGAAGGAACATGGATCTCTGACCTGTTCATTTCAGCATCTGTCTATATGTTATATCTCCCCTAATTTAGTTTTGGTTTAATAAATGAGTGATGTTTTTATTCTCTTTTAGGTTCAGTTGTGCGTCGGTCTCATATATCTCTTCCCAATGAATGAGACTCTTTTCTGGGAATAGATATTGGGTGCCCACGGTGCATAGAGCACTGGCTCATCCGTACTTGCACATACGCGCTGCCTCAGATGAGCCCCGTGCGCCGGGTGCATTCAATACCTTCTCCTATTCTGGGCACCTATGAAAGTTTCCCAGGAAGTCATCTTAGGTTTTGTGGACCTTGGCATTATGATAAATTTCTATTTATATGGTCTTTGCCTGTGTTTTTACTTGGCTGGTCCCAAACCCTAATAAAGGAGTGGGGTTGCATCAGGTAACTTGACAGATGTTCATTTATTAAATATTGTGTCTGATGATGCAGGCTTCACCTTGGTCCACTACAGACCCGGAAATGGTGAGTAAGTTATAACACTTACTGTTGAAAGGTATACTCCTATTTGATAGTATTAGTATATTTGATATGGTATATTTTTGTCCATCGTGATCATTCAAAGCTTTCCAGGAATATTCACTTTTCCTTGGATTCAGTTAATAATGAGCTTCGTTTCTCCCTCGATTTGAAATTTTTTAATGGCAAGCCTTCGTGTCTTTTATAGTAAATGTATAGATTTTCAATATTGCAGTTTAAAAATCAAAATCATAAATTGGTTACATTTGCGGTTCATGATAGTGGCAGTTATAAGGCTGGTGTAGTATCTTCTGAAATCCTGAATTTTTTATTTTTTGGTTCTTAGCAAAACTCAAACAATGCTCTTCCATAGACTATCTAATGAAGTGTAGAGATCAGTATAGAAAGAAATAAAAGTAGTACGTAGTACATAAAGTAAAGCATCTTACTGGTATAAAAAATTAGGAAAATGCTTCTTGTACTCCATGTTAGACCGAATAGTTTTAATTTATAAATAAACAGAGAAGGAAATAAAAGTACCACATTAAGTATAGCATCTTACCGAGGCCAATAAGTTGTAGGGATTGGTTAGGTAAGTCTATACTGTCATGTATGATAGGTAAAAAAAATTTTAATCTCTAGTCAATATGTTAAGATAAAAGTGTCACGTCTTCAATGTGAAAAATTATTGTCTATTTTACACAACTTTTTTTACACTGTTACATCAACATATTTTATTTTTTCTCATTTTTTCTCATTCCATTAAAGAATCAAGCCTATATTAAATAAATTTGTAAAAGTTATGTGGGATCGTGACATGACATTTGATTAAGCTTATATTAAGTAGATTTGTAAAAGTTATGTGGCGTCCTGACATGACATATATTTTTACATAAAAAGTATAAAATAATCGCTGAAGGTAAAAATAAATAATCTAATTTTTTTTATGTAAATCTATCATGACACGTCAAATTTACATAAAAAAATATACACGGTTAGAGAAATGTTTTTAAGACCAATAAATTGTAGGAAATGATTAGACGGAATACATTTTGATTGATTGTTGTATTCAAAATATAAGGAGTGGGATCTTCACTTCCTTATATACTGGAAACTTGACCAATCAATAATAATATTGAGTCAAGCAATTTCTTATATGTTGCAAACTCGACCAATCATTAATATCCGGTCAAACAATTCTCTTTAAAAGCTCCCTAAGTAGCACAACTATAATGCTAATTTGGATTTTCTCTATTTATTTTTATTTAGCATAAATAACCAAATAAAAGGCAATTCACTATAAGTGTTCGGTGTAAGTGTCACTACTCAAGTCATAATGCTAATTCCCGTTAATGCTTTTTCATCCATTATCGTCCCCGTTAATTATAGAATTTTTGCACTTCACAAGATTCTAAGAATGTTCATGCATAAAAATATAATATGGATTGATATATTAAACTAATTAAATTTTCAAAATGGACAATTAACTATCAATTACATTGATTAGGAGGGTTAATTATGTAGTGTGTCATAAAATTGAAATATTGTGTGCATTAGAAAGGTCACTTTGGTGTTGTCTCTTCCAATTCTGCTTTCTAAAAATAAAATATATATAAGAAGAAGCAATAAAAAAAAAACCTACGCGCCTGTAGCCTCCTACCCTCTAAAGAGAGATCAGGAGTTCGAACTTCAGTGCAGGGTGTGTGAATCCTAATTAATAAATAAATAAATGCCTTACACTTTTATATTAATTAATGTAATAATTCTTAATTAATTAATGTCCTTCATGAAAAGGAACGTTTCGGAATAAAAAATAATATTAACACCATAATTAGAAAAGGAACGTTTAGAAATGGAAAATAATATTTATAACTATAATATTCTCACTACTATCACTTTTCTGACACAGAATCTCTCGCACAAGTGCCAGGATGATGACTATGTTTAGGGGTTGATCTTGCCATTTCTTCCACGGGAAAGATAGCCGTAACACTCTTTCTTTATTTTGAGATTAAAGGGGAGTATTTAGGAGTAAGGACCGACCCTTTAATAAAAAAATATAAAAATAAAATAAAATAATAAAATAGTTTTGGTGAATTACTTAAGCCGAAAAAAATGATTTTGTTTTGTTTGAATTTATAAATATATGTTTGGAAATAGAGAAAAGAGGACCAAAAGATAACGGAAAAGACGTGATTAATAGGAGAAAAAATAAATGATTGTGAAACTAGAAGACGTGCTTTAATATGATTGTTTGGAAATACAAAAACAGGAAATACACATTTACAATGATTCTACAACCCAGAAGACGTCATTTAATAAAACTTTTTAATAGAAAAAAAAAAAAAAAAAAAAAAAATTGATTTTACAACTATAATAGAGAAGACGTGCTTTAACGAGACTTGTCATGGAGGGTTGCCAAGTTATTTTTGTAGACAGGGTTCTAAAAAGGTATTAAAGTATTAAACGCCTCGGATCATTCCAGTCGTGGTGGGATCCACTACTACATTCACGATCCACTCTACTATATGGTATGACATTATCCGTGGATTCGAGCTCGCACGATTTTGTTCATGAGTTTTACTCAAAAGATCTCATACTATTTACTCTGTGTTTAGAAGGCTGGATTTGATGGGATTTGGATTTAGAAATAGGATTATACAGTGTTTGGAATCATTGGATTGTGAATGGGTTTTAAAGTTATGGGATTTTAAATACTGTTTTTGATGTGTTTCAAATCATGTCACGGGATTTGGAATATAAATACGATATTATCTTAATTAACTCTGTACAATATCTACTTAACCTATTTCAATCTCCAACTCTCTATCTCCAACATTATTTAACTAACTCCATACTACTCTCTCATATAACTACTTAAACTTATTTCAATCTCCAACTCTCTATCTCCAACATTATTTAACTAACTCCATACTACTCTCTCATATAACTGTTTACCAACGTTATTTTACTTTTTAGTGATTTTTTTTTTAAGTATGTTGGTAATGTTTAATAAGTTAGTTTTTTAATTAAAAAATAATTGCTTTTTTTTTTTTTTTTTTTTACGTGATCTGTTAAATAAGTAAATTTTATATTTCAGTTATATCATTTAGTCCTTTTTGTTTGTCTATTTGATGTAACTTTTGGAGCATATTTGACAATAAAATAATTATTTTATTTATCATTTAAACAAGGGCAAAAATGGTATAATATTATTTTTATTCCAAATTTCCTTTTAAATCCACCCTCAAATTCAATTGGTTCCAAACATAGAAATAAAAGTTCATTTTAATTCCAATTCCTTTTCTAATTCCGATTCCTTTTTCAAATCCTAAAATAATTGATTCCAAACAAAGCGTTTATGCAAATCCAACATATATAGGCCTCATACCGATTGTGTTTTGTTTGGATTTAATGTAAATTGTAATGTATATATATAATGTTTAGAAATAGAGTAAATTGTAATGTATATATATAATGTTTAAAAATAGAGGATGGCACTGTCAACCCCATCCCTGACGGCAATCAATCATCAAAATTTGGCAAACAAATTCGTAACCACATGCCTCGTCGTGTCAAATCTTCACTAATTCACCACTAATGTGCCTCTATGCACGTTTACATGCCGGATTTTCATGAATCCGCCACCACGTTCCTTAAGGTGCCGAATTTTCACGAATCCACCACCACACGCCTTAAGATGCCGAATCTTCACAAATCTGCCTCCAACGTGTCGAGCCACTACGCTTCCATGCGCCTCCATTGATTTTCACGTCAACACGCCTCAATGTGCCGGATCTTCACGAATTTGTCACCATGCGCCTCTGCATGCCTCAACGTAGTCCACCATATGATTCTATGTGCCTCAATGTGCCAAATCTTCACAGATTTGTCACCTTGGACCACTATGCTTCCATGCATTTCCATTGGTCTTCAGGTCAATTATGCTAACTACGCTTCCATTCGTCTCCAATGGTCTTTGCTTCACTACTGCTTTCATGATCTTATTTACAAACTCAAGATAACTTTATATCACCTACCTTGAGTTTGAGGGGGAATGTTGTATCTACCTATTATATACCTTACTTACCACCTATGTTTTCTTGTTCACTAAACTGTTATATTTTATATTACTAACCTAATTAGTTGCTTTCTATAGCTTTTGCCTATAAATTGGCCCCTTATTACTACAGTTTTCATTAATCCAACATTCAGTTTCTTTATTTTTAACAATTTTTATGGACTGTGGCAAAAAGGAAATATAATAAGGCAAATGTGAACTACAAGTGGAAAATAAAGTTGAGAGTTAATATATTTTTAAATTCGAGATAAATTAAGGTTATTTTTTATAAATGACAATTGTGAGAGTAAATAGTTAATTTTTAAATGAAGAGCAGTGATGTACACCTTGACACCCGACTAGTCCAGTTTCTTACAAAAGGTGTGGAGCTCCACCACACTTAAAAAGATCAATGAAATTCATTGACTTGTTCCAATGGATCAAAACGGTCAATTATTAATGGAATTCCTTATCTACTCTCTCTGAAATACTCGTTTGGCAAAGAGCTTCCGAATACATCATAAGCTAACTTGACAAATAACCAACCCACAATGAATAAGCAAGGTATTGTAATGTTATGACACCCAGTATTGAATATTGGTTGTAATAATAGCAAAAAAACTTTCTTATGTGCTTCACTGGTGGGGCCCATCACACCTAAACGGATCTGCTAAATTCATCGACTTGTTCCAAAGGATTAAAACGGCCAATTATTAATGGAATTCCTTGTTGGCTCTCTGTGAAATATTTGTTTGGCCAAGAGCTTCCAAATATATTGTAAGCTAAGCCCGCGCTAAAGAATAACCTACTCGGAATGAATAAGGAAGATATTGTAATGTTATGAATGACCCAATATTGAATATGTATTATAATATCAGCAAAATAATGTTCTCATGTGTTTGCACTGGTGAGGCCTACCGCACCTAAAAGGATATTCTAAATTCATTCACTTGTTCGAAAGGATCATAACAGCCAGTTATTAATGGAATTCCTTGTTAGCTCTATGTGAAATACTCATTTCATAATTTGGCCAAGGACTTCCTAATGCATGGTAAGCTAAATCCGTGCTGATAAATAACCAATTTGTAATGAATAAGGAAGGTATGGTAATGTTATGAATGACCTAGTATTGAATACTGGTTATAATTATCAGCAAAAGAACGTTCTCATATGCTTCCACTGGCCGGGCCACACCACACCTAAAAGGATCTACTAAATTCATCAACTTGTTCCAAACAATCAAAACAGCCAGTTATTTGTGGAATCATTTGTTGCCTTTATGTGAAATATTTGTTTCATTGTTTGGTCAAAGGCTTTTAAAAACACTGGAAGCTAAACTCGTGTTGACGAATAACCAACCTGCGATGAATAAAGAAGGTATAGAAATGTTAGACCTAATATTAAATACTAATTATAATATCAACAAAAGAACGTTCTCAAGTGCTTCCACACGTGGAGCCCTACCACACTTATAAGGATTTTCTAAATTCATTGACTTGTTCCAAAGGATCAAAACAGCCATTTATTAATAGAATTTCTTGTTGACTCTATGTGAAATACTCATTTGGCCAAGGGCTTCCAAATATATTGTAAGTTAAACCCATGTTGATGAATAATCAACCCACAATAAATAAAGAAGATATAGAATGTTATGAATGACGAGTAATGAATACCGGTTATAATATCACTAAAATAACGTTCTCCAATACATTTACTAGTGGGGCTCCACACCTTTTGTGCCGATAAGTTTATAATTTTCCTTAGATAAACCAAAGGCTATTCCTCTCCCAACATTGAATAGATAATATATGACTTTTAGGTTCCTAATGATGGGAAATTTAAGAAAATATGGGGAATATTTTTTTTTTCCCACACCATATATAACAATGGCTATAGGCATTCTTAAGAAGATTTTATTAGCTTTTAAAAAATGGGTTTGGGTGTTGGATATAATTCATTGAAGTAGTGAAAGTTCTTATAAGATAATGACAAACTTGCTGTAAAAGAGTCATGGTTTGAATAACAAGAGATAGTATATTCAAGCAATGTGACTTTTTCTAGAATATTTGGGACCAAGATTAGAAAACTAATGTTTCTTATTTGAACCAAGGTGTTGGAATAGATGCAAGCTCTTAACACCTGTCAAGAGAAAGTACCAAGTGTCAATTCTTAAGATTGTCTAATGTCTATTCCTTGCTTTTTCCATAATAGGTTGTGCAACTTCATTGTGAATTCCTTTCAAACAGAGTACAAGTAGTTAGAACTTGGAAGATGAAAAAAGGATTTTAGGGAAGGGATAGAAATTGGGTATTTGAATATATAAAAATAGAGAGCATAACGCAGTAAGTATTGTTTTTAATAATAACTTGAGATTACTATAGGCTAGAATTTAAAAATCTGTAGAAAAGAAAACAAATAAAAAAACTCAACAATCAAAGTGAAATCTAAACACAAGTTTTATCATATTTGCTTTATAAGCAACAACTGTTTCTACATTGTCTGTTTAATATTAATATTATTCACAAATCACATTTTAAAAATAAAATAGTTGTAATCCTACTAAGTATTTCAAAAAAATTATATCAAATGTTATTTTAAAATTTTAAAAATATTCTTTAATTTTTTTTATTACCACGAAATTACTAACAGATTCAACAATTATCAAAATCAACTTCAAGAAAGTTGAGGGTTTAATTTTTATGGTACTTAAAAAATGAATAAATGTATATATATACACTTATATATGTATGTATATATATTAAAAAGAACCCAATTCAAGAGTTAAAAATTAACCCTAGTTAAGGTAACAGGTTAGGGTTAGCAAAAAATTAAATAAATAGAAAATGAAAAAAAAAAAAAAAAAAAAAAAAAAAAAAAAAAAAAAAATTTTGAGGGAGAATATTGCCCATGCCTTCCCTTTTTGCCATTTTAAAAGAAAATTATAGCAGTTGATTGTTCTTATTAGGTTTCGAGCTTTGAGGGGTTTTGCCTTTGACCAAAAGGCTCACTTCTCTTTGTGTCTTTTCCAATTCAATTTGGTGGGAAACGCCAAAAGTCAACAGACAACGAATGCATTTGGATTCAATTTCTCTATACAGGTAATTTTGGCTTTTTTTTTTTTTTTTTTCCCTTCAATTGTCAAATTTTCATATACATCATATATACGTATATATGTTTGTTACTGAATCTAGGGTTTCAGTTTAGAGTACTGAATGTGAGAAATCAAATGGTGAAATTTGACCCGTGTAAGTCATGTGATACATCGGTGGTTTCTTTAGATCCATGACGAGTTTTCTTGTTTGAAATCTGATTAAGTTTCTCTCGAGTGTGGTGAATTCTGACCGTCACATTTCGCTATTGCTTTGAAAATCGTTATAGTTTATGTGGGTTTGTTAATTTGGCTATTTTTTGCTTTAATTCGAAGTTGCATTACAAATAACTGGTTTTTATTCAGTTCCGTGGTTTTGAAACTGTAAATTTCAGTGTAGAGAGCTGTTCTGATTCTTAGCAACATTTTCTGTCTGAGCACTTGCGGCTTTTCTGGAGATTATATGTGTGTGTGTGTGTATATATATATATATATATTAATTTTTCAAGTCATTGTGATAGTGATGGGGTTTAATTTCATAAATGTGGTGATCTATATGTCATTGTAATAGTGATGGGTAATTTCCTAAATGTGGTGATCTATAGTTGGAAAATTATTTAAAGTCTGGCAGTCAGAGAATTCCGAATGTTGTGACGTGAGGGTTTGACGTCATGACCCCACTCACATCAGTCGGAGTTGTCCAACTGTCGGACTCCGTATCATGACTCTTTATAGTTTAGAAACTTGAAAATAAGACACTTGCTCCAGGTGAAAAACTTGAAAGTGAGATCATTATCTTTTTTTTAGAACATATGAATAAATGATTCTGAACTTCTAAGAGATTTTCTTCTGGATTAGGAAAGCAAGATGAAATGCTAATTTTCTACTAGTGCATTTTATGGAGATGAAACCAAATTGTTTGGATTTTGTATTGGAAAAGGAAGCAGATGTTTCAATTTTGATGAATGTGAATTGTTGTAGTTGTGCTAATAGATTTAATGAGTTACTGTTGATATATATGAAGTTTGATGTCCTAAGCTATGATATATGCACAGGCGTACATACATTTCAGAGCATAGACATTGTCAATACTCAGAATAGTAAGAACATATGAATAAATGATTCTGAACTTCTAAGAGATTATCATCTGGATTCGTAAAGCAAGATGAAATGCTAATTTATTATTTTACATTTTAAGGAGATGAAACCAAGTTGTTTGGATTTTGTATTGAAAAAGGAAACAGATGTTTCAATTTTGGTGGATGTGAATTGTTGTAGTTGTGCTAATAGAATTAATATGAGTTACTGTTGATATATATGAAGTTTGATGTCCCTAAGCTACTACATATACACAGGCATACATACATTTCAGAGCATAGATATTGTCAATACTCAGAATAATTTATCACAATTCTAGTTGGAAGTTATTGCGGATTTGAATCCTTAATAATTCTATGAACTATCCTGAATTAGGCGATGCTTGATGGTTTTGTTGTTGAATGAAAGGCGGTAAAATACTCAGAAATAGAAAGATTTGGCTTCCAATCGATTAAATGATTTGATTGAATTTAAATCCAGTGAATACTGAATAGTGAACTATCCTGAATCATTGGACCAATAGTCGAGCTTGATGGTTGTGTTGTTGAATGAGAAGAGTCAGAGAAGTACTCAAAACAGTAAAACTTGGTTTCCAAACAATTTCATTGGATATGACCGAAATTAAGAGCCAAATGCAATTGTAAGTTTTTGTCATAAAATTTTAAGTGTTTTGCAATCAAGAATTCTAAATCAAGATTGATTTTGATTTTGTTTATAATCAACATGAATAGGTTATATGTTGTAATTATTTTAAATTATAAGGGCTTTACACAAATGCAGAAAATATTTCCATTTGGCCGTTATTTTTCTTTTGAATTCTCCTGATATAAGAAGTTTTCTGAATTTTCGAATTGTCCGATCTTTTGCTTGAATCAGGTATTAGACACTTGAACGTCCTCCGTATTACATTATGGAACTGTTGTCCCTGGCTAACTGATATAAGAAATATTCCAAGGAGCAGCAAAACACTGAAACTTGTTTAGGAAATTATGGAGTGCAATAGAGACGAGGCCATCAGGGCAAAAGTAATCGCTGAGAGAAAGTTGACAGAGAAGGATTTAGCTGGTGCAAAGAAATTTACCTTGAAAGCCCAAAGTTTGTATCCTGGACTTGAGGGTCTTTCCCAGCTGTTGACAACAGTTGATGTGTACATCTCTGCAGAGAATAAAGTAAGTGGGGAAGTGGATTGGTATGGGGTACTTGGTGTAAATCCCTCGGCAGATGATGATACAGTGAAGAAACAGTATAGGAAGCTCGCTCTCATACTTCACCCTGATAAAAATAAATCAGTGGGTGCAGATGGTGCATTTAAACTTCTTTCAGAAGCCTGGAGTTTATTATCTGATAAGACCAAAAGATTGGCATATAATCAAAGGAGAAGTTTAAAAGGATTCCAACAGAAAGCTCCAGCCCAGAGTAAGGGTCCACCATCAGCACCATCGGTTGTAAATGGTTTTCACAATTTTACAAATAATGCAACTTCAAATGTCAAGACTCAGAGCAAAAGCACACGGTTGTTTACCACCACTGCTCCACCTCCATCCCATCGAAGAACGGATACTTTTTGGACTATTTGCAACCGATGCAAGATGCATTACGAATATCTTAAGATATATCTCAACCACACTCTCCTTTGCCCCAACTGTCGTGAGGCTTTTACAGCTTCTGAGATGTCTCCTCCAATCAATTTTTCTCAGTCCAATTTATCTTCTCGCCAAAGGCATCAAAATTCTAGCCATCATGTAACTAATACTAATCCATTTGATCCTGGAAGAAATGCTGCAACTGCTCAAAATTTAGGACCAGGAGTATCGGCAGGTATTAATTCGTTTAATCACACACACGTCCATAGGGGTCCGTTCTCCAGAATGGCTGGTGTTGGTAGCACGGTTACCTCACCTTCTACTGCTGCAAAAGCTGCAAATGTTATTCAGCAGGCAAATGAGAAAGTGAAAAGAGAGCGTGAGGAAGCAGAGACTGCTGCCTGGTGGGAGAAGAGCTATGCTTCTAGCTCAGTTCTCAAAGGAGAGAGACCTTGGAAAAAGAAAAGAGGACCAGATGATGATCATAATGGATATCGCAGCAATGTGCCTTATCAAATGACCATGGGGAATAGCAGTGGTGGCACAGGAAGCATTTCTGGATTACGAAAGAGTAATTATGAATCAGAAAGGGCCTATGGTTTTTCTGGTATTAATAATAAGCCTAACAGCACTAGAGAGTTGACATTGCTTGAAACCCGAAACATGCTGATGGAGAAGGCGTGGAGGGAAATTCGCAAGAAGTTAACTGATTGGCGTTTGGATGCTGCAGCCAAGGCTGCAGAAAAAGAAAAGAAAGTGAAAGAGAGTAAAAAGGAAAGGGTGGGTGCAGTGAAGGGCGATACACATGATCCAAATGGGTTTGGTGAGTCTTTTGGAACTAAGAGAGGGGACCAAGCCAAGATGAGTATTCAGAGCCCTTCTGTTGATGATACAGATAAGGAGGAACTTGCACCAACATCGATGGATGTTCCAGATCCTGATTTTCATGATTTTGACCTGGACAGGACGGAAAGTTGTTTCAGTGATAACCAGGTCTGGGCTGCTTATGATGATGATGATGGCATGCCTCGTTTCTATGCTATTATTCATAAAGTAGTCTCCTTGAAGCCATTCAAGATGCGAATCAGTTGGCTTAATTCAAAAACCACCAATGAATTTGGTCCTGTAAACTGGATAGGTTCTGGTTTCTCTAAAACTTGTGGGGAATTTAGGGTTGGCAAACATGAAATCAATAAATCACTGAATTCTTTTTCACACAAGGTTAAGTGGACAAAAGGCACACGTGGGGCTGTTTGTATATTCCCCCAAAAGGGGGATGTGTGGGCTTTATACAGAAACTGGTCACCTGATTGGAATGAGCATACCCCAGATGAAGTGATACACAAGTATGACATGGTGGAAGTGCTCGATGATTATAATGAGGATCAAGGTGTTTCTGTTACCCCTCTTGTCAAGGTAGCTGGTTTCAGGACAGTATTCCATCCTCATCTGGACCCTGTGAAAGTAAGGAGGATTCGGAAAGAAGAGATGTTTAGATTCTCTCATCAGGTTCCTAACTACTTGCTTACAGGCCAAGAAGCTCAAAATGCTCCACAGGGCTGCCAGGAGCTAGATCCAGCTGCTTCACCTTTGGAACTTCTCCAGGTAATAACAGAAGCTAACGAGGTACCTATGGTGGAGAATGGTGGAAAAGTTGAGGGAGAGACATTGCTGAGTACCCTAGAGAATCAGAAAGATGAGATAATGGATAATTCAACAAATGGTGAGGAAGAAGTTATGGTAGAGAATGTTGAAGGACCCAAGGCAGGGGAGACAATGGTTTATAAGAAAAGAACCAAGGAAGCAGCAGCAGTAGATAATGCATGAAAAAACTGAGGAGATTATGAAGATTACTCTGAGATACATTCAGTAGTTGAGTTTTGGGGTATGCGGGCCCAACAAGAATTGAAAGGGAATGGCATCTAGGTACAGTAGGTGGATTGAAAGTGAAAGCTGACATTCTTGCTTTTTGTGGCTATTTAGCATTCAGACTCTGTTAGAACTCATGTATGGCCATCAGCAGATCAGGTATAACCCAGTTTTTTTTTCTTCAAACTGAATATAGTCTACAATATGAAGATACATTGTTCTTGTTCCTTATATAGGTAAAAGATGAGTGCTTCCCTACCTTTTGGATATATCTTTTAAGGTTGGGGCTGCATACTTTTTGTTCTTGGTCGTTATATTTCTATCCAGAACCATCTACTAGTTGCAGCTTTTTTCAATGAAGTATATATCAATGAGCTGCTTTACTTCTATTTATACTTCTCAATGATATGCTCCGGTTGAGTTTTCTGCAAATATATGGTAAATGGCATCTTTGTTTCTCTCCTTGTAGCTATTTCTAGACGGTTTTTGTTATTTCATGTGAACAAATGGTGAACAATCTCCTTGTCAAATTTGCTTATATGTGGGTATGTCATCGTATGAAAGATGAGTTTTTGATCTTTCTCTCCATCTAGGTATTATTGGTACTAGTGGTGGTAAAATCACCTTGTTTTGTTCTTTTCCATGTTGATAAATATAGTAATTTACTTTTGAATTTTGATGGGTATTTTGGAGAGTTGTTATTAGACCTCACGAGTATTATAAGATAGAAAGAAGTCTCATTAACAAGAGCCGGAACCATGCATCTCTTTTGTTGGGCAGTGCCATTAAATCTTGACATGTTTGGGCATACAAACATCGTTGCGAAGGCAAATTGCTGTATAACAATGAGTATTGTGTCACTGTGGTGGTTTGGGGTTTTTGAATGAGTTGTGAGAGAGATGTTGTGGATTTTTGCCAGGTTATCTCCATGAATGATGTAACTCTTGGTGTAACAATCTCTTAGTTCTGAACCATGTAGTCCCGATGTTCTTGAATGTGTTGTTTTCTGTATTTTTCTTTCCTAGTTCGCACCCTTGCACTTCCACTCAATCCTAACACCAGGCTCTGTGACTACCCAAGCACCAGGATTTTGTTTTATGGAGATCAGTAGCCCAAACAAAATGTTTAAAATGTTAAATTAAAGTATTTTTATTCTATATCTTGTGCTGAATGCATATTTTCATTGAATCATATAACTTTTTTGTTTTTAATTCTCTGGTTTCCTTTAGGTTCAAATAACTGTTAGTTTTATAGTTTCATGATCATATTCATGGTATCAAATCTGTTTTTACTATCCCTGAAAGGTTTTTCCAGAGAAGAGAGCCAGGCAAATGTTTGTTATTCTCATTTTAGACTCATCCATAACTTTAGCTTTTGGACCAGAAAGATCCCATTGAGTTATTGTTTCCAAACTAGGTCATCAAGCCGACCCATGTTAGTAAAAAGGGACTAGCTCAGTGTAGGAGATTCGTCTCCCGTCACTATATGGTCTGAGTTGGGTTAGATGTAAAAGTAGACGTCACTGAATGGTCCGAGTGTTGATGTTAAAATCGGCTCCTAAGATCCGATTCGGAATTGATATGATACAGGCGTGCCAAAACCAATTATATGGTTCAAATGTGAGTTGTCAATGTTAGTCTCTTTGGGAAGGTTGACTTTCAGACGATGCGAGGATGAAGAGAACAGTAAAACTCCTCTTTGAGTTCAAGAATTGCCTTAATTAAAAGGACTTTATCAATGAGTAATTATAGTACTGTTTGAGAGAATAGAAAGGGGAGAGAAATAGATATAGAAGGAAAGAGATGGAGAAAGATTTAGAGAGAGAGAGATAGAACGTGAAAAAGAGAAAAATAGGAAGGATGCTATTTTGGGAAAGAGCTTGAGAAGGCAAACAAATAAATTAAAGATTCTGAGAGTGGACCTCCATCTCAGCATACCTCTTTGATTATTTATAGAATAATTCATAAAAACAAACTCCTATGCATATGCATTATAAATGTATCAAACTCTATCAAATAACTAATTACTAATATGAAATAAAATCTAATCATATCGATAACCCAACTAATTATAAGTTTAAAATAAACTAATATTAAAGATAAATATAAATATTTAATTTGCATCAACTAAAAGATAAATACTAAAATTATAATCTCTATCTATTAAATAATTCAAACGCTTCAATCTTCTTTGTCTCCTAATGTAGCTTCTGAAACCTTTTCCACGTGTCAATTTATATCCAAATTGGTTGCCATGTCATTAATACAAAATTTACCAAAAAGGGTGTCAACAATGCCTCCCAATTTTAAATGTCTTATCGGCTGTCGGCCGCTTAAGCCGATAAGATATTTGAAATTTAAAGTACATTGGAAGGAAATTTTGAACAAAGGTTACGCTAGTCACTTGGAATCAGATTGCAAATCGATGAGCTCCAAAGCTTTATTTCTTCTGAATCACCTCTAAGATGATCTTTATTTCATATTAGCCAAATCTGCCGATTTAGGCTTCTTCCTAGATTCTCAGAAAGTTTGCCGATATTATCAGCCCATAAACTAATGAAGGACTTGCCCCCAATGCATTTTCTAATTCCGCTAGCAAATCATGATCATGATTGGTAGGAATTAAATTATTGTGAAGCGTCATTCTAGCCGATCTGCCTATTATCTCTATGACATTTTGCCATGAAGGAGCTTTCTTAGCTGCTTTTCTTTCTGCCGATTTTGCATTCAGCTCTATCGGCAAGACTGAATCATGCCCAAAATTCCATTGATCGGCAAGTATGACTTCACTATAATCGGCATGAGTTGAAATATGTCGTAGAATAACCTTTGCCGATTTTACATTCGGTTTAATCGGCAGGACTACATCATGCCCAAAAGTTTATTGATCGGTAAGCATGACCTCACCATAATTGGCATACTGAAATAGAGCGTATGGATCAACTAACTTTTGTTTAGGGTTTGCAATCGCATGTCCCCCGGCAGCCGCTGGTTTTTTAATCAAATTTCTTTTAACCGATTTTGCCTCAGCCGATTTTCTCAACCGATTTCTAAGTACCCTTGTGAAATTAACATCGGCTAGTCTTTTTCTTATTTTCTTGAAGTTGGGCTGAGGATAGCGAGTTAAAACAATTCTTTCAGCTGATGATTGTTTTTGCCGATTATTAGATGTCACAATCGGCAAAGAATTATGGTACATAGGTTGTTTTGCTTTCAGCCGATTTGTACCCTTCCATTCATGGCAACAACCATGGTGACATGTTGATTTACATATGTAAGGCTTTTTGATGTTAATCTCGGCAACATCAACTTCCAGTTCATTATCAACTTTAGCCAAGAACACTTCATAATTAGGGTTTTTGTAGTAAGTACCCTTGGAGGAATTCTTTCTTTCCTTCTCCTCTTTGGGTATCTCCTCCCATATTTGAGCCATTAATGTTTTCATCCTCTGCTTAAATTCTGGCCAACTTTCTTGCTGATTAACCATCGGCTGCCTCCCGAGTACCGAAGATTGTGATATGGGGGTGACATACTGATTTACCACTTACCGATAATCGGTTACTGGCGTCTGCCAATAATCGGCTGCTGAAACTTGCCGATATTCTAATGTTGAAACTTGCCGATAATCAGCGACTGTTGGCTCATCCCGTATTTAAGCCATTAGTGTTTTCATCCTCTACTTAAATTCTGGCCAATTTTCTTGCTGATTGGCCATCGGCTGCCCCCCGAGTACCGAAGATTGTGATACAGGGGTAACATGCAGATTTACCACTTGCCGATAATTGGTTGCTGGCGTCTGCCGATAATCACCTACTGTTGGCTCCTCCCGTATTTGAGCCATTAGTGTTTTCATCCTTTGCTTACATTCTGGCCAACTTTATTGCCGATAATCGGCTGCTGAAACTTGCCGATAATCTGATGCTGAAACTTGCCGATAATCAGTGACTGTTGGCTTTTGCCGATAATCGAATGTTGGCGTATGCCGATAATCGACTATCGATACTTGCCGATAATCGACTGTTGGAATATGCCGATAATCGGTTGCTGAAACTTGCTGATAATCTAATGCTGAAACTTGCTGATAATTAGCGACTATTGGCGTCTGTCGATAATCGATTACTGGAACATATCGATAATCAGCTGTTGGAATATGCTGATAATTAGCGGCTGTTGGCTTCTGTCGATAATCAGCAACTGGAACATGTCGATAATCGGTTGCTGGAACATGCCGATAATCGTCTGGCCAACCATATGGCTGATTAGAATATTGGTACATCGGCTGATTTGACTGATCAGAATATTTGTATGTCGGTTGAGAAACCGACTGCATATTTTTTACTATAAATCACTCACCTAGTGGGGTCCCACCGGGCGTGTAAAAAATGTTGATGCTAAAATCAGTTCCTAAGATCCGATTCGGAATTGATATGATACGGGCGTGCCAGAACCAATTATATGGTTCAAATGTGAGTTGTCAACGTTAGTCTCTTTGGGAAGGTTGACTTTTAGACGATGCGAGAATGAAGAGAACAATAAAACTCCTCTTTGAGTTCAAGAATTGCCTTAATTAAAATGACTTTATCAATGAGTAATTATAGTAACGTTTGAGATAATAGAAAGGGAAGAAAAATAGATATAAAATGAAATTAGATAGAGAGAGATTTAGAGGGAGAGAGCTAGAACGTGAAAAAGAGATAGGGATAGAGAAAAATAGTAAGGATGCTATTTTGGGAAAGAGCTCGAGAAAACAAACAAATAAATTAAAGATTCCGAGAGTGCTGGATCTCTATCTTAGCATGCCTCTTTGATTATTTATAGAATAATTCATAAATTATTAATATGAAATAAAATTTAATTCTATAGATAACCCAACTAATTATAAATTTAAAATAAACTAATCTTAAAGATAAATATAAATATTTAACTTACATCAACTAAAAGATAAATGCTAAAATTATAATCCCTATCCATTAAATAATTCAAAGGATTCAATCTCCTTTGTCTCTTAATGTAGTTTCTGTAACTTTTTTTACGTATCAATTTATACTCAAATTGGTTGCCATGTTATTAATACAAAATTTATCAAAAAGGTGTCAAAACACTTAGTTAGGTTAGACATAAAATGGATGCCACTGAATGGTCTGAATTGTGAGAAAAACTTTATTGCGCTATGCAACGGATACATTTAACATTCATTAGAAGTGTGTGTGTAATACAACGCATGAACATGTATATTAGAATGCACAATGTAACAACTGTTTTCAGTTTTCAAACCCTCAACCCGACCTATGTTTAATTTATGCACAAAAATCACCGTTAACTTTTAATCCATAGGGGTCCATGTTAGTTCAATTGACCAAAACACCCTTGTCTGCATGCACCGGCACGGT